ATACATTCAGCTTTCATTTCTCTTTCTCACTGAACAGCTGCAGCTGTCCACTTCTCACTGCTTCAACACAGAACTCACTAACTTCATCAACTGTCAACCTGTAACTGAAACTACTGACTCTCACATACTCATCCACCCAGATTCACTTCCAAAACCCCTCCCCCTCTCTGTCAACCACCAGTCATACCACACTTGCCTGTCTCAACCACTCTATCACAGCCATGCAACCAAACTTTTAAAGAGAGACACACACACACAAACTCATTACACCCGCCCTTCACTCGGAGTCTCAGAGCAGCTTACAAACGCCTTTCCCCTCCCCTCCCCACAACAGACCCCCTGCGAGGTAGGCGGGGCTGAGAGAGCTCTGAGAGAACTGTGCTTGACAGCTCTGAGACAACTGTGACTGAACCCAGGTCACCCAGATGGCTGCATATGGACGAGTGGGGAATCAAACCCGGTTCTCCAGATTAGAGTCCGCTGCTCTTAACCACTACACCAAACTGGGCTCTGGCCCTGGGCTCTGGTCAAGGACAGCAGGATGTCTTTCAGGCTGGGGATCACCAGTAGGTTCTTCTCTGCACTGGCTGGATACATGCTGTCTGTCCGTGGGGTTCCGGTAAGGACCTGCATGCTGCATTCTAGACCAGCTGCAGTCTCAAAGGTAACCTTGTATAGAACGAGTTACAGTAGTCCAGCCTGGAGGTGACCATTGCATGGATTACTGTGGCTAGGTCAGGGTGGGGCAGGAAGGGGGCCTGTTGCCTAACCTGGCATAGCTGGAGAGCGTCAGTCTGGCAACGTTTGTGATCTGGGCCTCCACTGAAAAGGAGGCACCCAGAACCACACCCAAGCTCTTGACAGTTGGTGCCAGTATTAGGGGCACATCGTCAAGAGCAGGGAGTTGGCACCCCGATCCTGAGTCCTCCTGCCCAGCCACAGAACCACCATCTTAGCAGGATATGTTCCCTCTAAGTTGTGGAGTCTTGTGAGCAAGAATTCTACTTTGTGAGCTACTGGCATTAAAGTTGTGAGCGAGCCATTTGGCTACTGCATCAATTAGTTTGTTCGGGAGCCATCCGTCCTGAGCGAAGACAAAATTGTGTGAGCTGGAGGCTAAAAGACTGTGAGCTAGCTCACACTAACTCAGCTTAGAGGGAACACTGGTCCCAGCCAGCTCTGTTTCAGCTATCCCACCAAGGCCTCCAGCCCCTCAGCCAAGTTTACTGGGGCAGTATCTGGCCGGCCGCCCATCAGCAGATACAGCGGGGTGTCATCAGCACACTGGTGACATTCCAGCCTGAAACTCCACACCAGTTGGGCAATGGGGCGCATATAGATGCTAAACAACATTGGAGAGAGGATTGCACCCCAAGGGACCCTACACATTAAGGGGGTATCTAGTTGACACCCTCTCTCCTAGCACCACCCTCTGTCCCAACCTTGGAGAAATGAGGTAAGCCACTTCAAGACAACCCCACGAATTCCTATGTCGGGGAGGCGGTGGGTCAATCGATCATCATCGACTGTGTTGAACGCTGCCGTAAGGTCAAGCAATAGCTGCAGCACCGACCCACCTCGATCCATCTGCCTGCGGAATATAAGGGAGCTTCTTGATACAGTTTGCAATTCTTTTAATATGTTTAATTTTTAGATTCCGAGAAGTAAGCAATGATAAAGCAAATCTCTCAGAGCATAAGAGCCCAGCTGGATCAGACCAATAGTCCAACTAGTCCAGCATCCTGTCTCATGCAGTGGCTAACTATAACTGTCTCATGCAGTTCTGCAGGGCCTGCATGACGGAGCTCTTCCGCCAGGCGTTCGAGTAGGAGCCGCCGCCGCCACTATCCTACCACCAAGGTAGTATGTCATCGGCTGCCCTACGAAAGGGGGGCAGGTTAAGCCCTGGCTGAAGTTATAGACAGTATAGCGGGAGACCGCGCTACCGGGATAACTGGCCACCAAAGTTGGGTGGTTGTTCCCATCTTGGTTGATTAATATAGCACCGTGTTATAGGATGGTTTTACCGTGGTTTTAAATGTGTATTTTATTGTATGTCTTATTGTATTTTATATTCCGGCTTTGCCACCTGTGAACCGCCCTGAGCCTTTGGGAGGGCGGGATAGAAATCAAATAAATAATAAATAAATAAACTAGTTCCCCCAGAGGGACAACAACAGGGCATGGACTCCAAGGCCTTCCCCTTATGTTGCTTCTTGGCTCTGAGATTCAGAGGATTAGTGCCTCTGAATGTGGAGGTCCCCCTCAATCACCATGGCTAGTAGCCACTGATAGACCTCTCCTCCATGAATCTATATCTAATCCCCTTTTAAAGCTGTCCATTACCGTGGCCATCACTACATCCTCTGGCAGCAAATTCCACATTTTATCACTCTCTGTGTAAAGAAGTATTTCCTTTTTGTCCGTCCTGAACCTCCTGCCCATCAGCTTCCTTGGATGCCCTCAAGCACTAGTGTTTCGGGAGAGGGAGGAAAAGTCCCCTTTCTCAACTCTCTCCATCCCATGCACAATTTTATAAACGTCTATCATGTCCCCGCTCCGGGCACTTGGTGATCTCTTCAGAGTTGATCCGAGTGCTCTGGTCCCCCGGATTCTAAGGATGCTCCTGAATTTCCTGGCAATACTGTCTTGATGCAACAATTGCAGTTCCCACTGTAGAGTTCTTTCCCAGCTTGCGGCAAACTGCAGCAGCCTAAAGCAGCCTAAATGAAACAAATGCATTAGAACTGCCAGTCACGATAGTGGGCCCACAGGGTGACCTAACTTGCCCCTCATACGTGTCATCAGGACAGAGGGGAGAGTTCCATGTGCTCGCTGCACTCCTTGACGAAAGGAAAAGAGGGAAAGCTAACACGTCTTGAATCCCGGCCGCGAGTCTCCTTGAGCACATTAGCACGACCCACATTGTACCCCCAGGGGTCTTGCTGCAATAAGGCACACTTCAGCCGGAATGGAAGACAGGCAAAGCAATGCTGAAATGGGAAGGTGCAGGTGGATAGCTTTGGGCTCGCAGACGTCTTCAGCAATTTGATGCTAGGGTATGGTTTGTGTGGGACGTGGGATGGTATAGCGTCCAGTGTTCCCTCTAAGCCGCAATCTGGAGCCGTGCAGGGTCTTGCACTGCCCATTCCCCCGTTTTAAGATTACAGCAGTTATATTCTGCACAGGATGTGAAGTGCTCTGCTCAGTAGCGGGAAGGTACAGGGAACACTGGTGTAGGCTGATCTCTGAAGCTAAGCAGGGCCGGGACTTGGATGGGACTGGAGGCCACAAAGGAAGACACTGCAGAGGAACAGGGGTCATTTCCTGCAGGAGCGCACAGGAGCGGAGCTCCGGCAGTAAAGAGCCCAGTAAAGAGCACATGCAACAAGCCCCACCCCCTGCTCCCAGCAGCCCTCAGTCAGAGCAAGAAGCAGCCAGGTAAGTTGCAGAGCCCCCCCGCCCCCCGGTCCAAAACAGTCCAGTGGCACCTTTAAGACCAAGTTTTATTCAAGTACAAGCTCTCCCTCCTCTGTGAGGACAGATCTGCACATTCCCCCCCCCCAATAGCTAGCAATCCAAAACAGTCCAGTGGAGCCTGAGCGGTGGGTGTTGCCTTCTGACACACTTCCGGTGATGTCAGGGGTGTGTAGCATATGCAAATAAGTTATGCTAATGAGTTATGCTAATGAGCTCCTGCACATCTTTTTCTAGGAAATGACCCCTGCAGAGGAAGGCCCAAAGGTTTATTTATTTTATTTATTTATTTAGACATTTTTTACCCCGCCCTCCCCGCAAGCGGGCTCAGGGTGGCTTACAAGGGGCTCAGGGCGGCTTACAAGGGGTTGGTTCTGAGTGTGTTTTAGGCCGAGTCATCTTTGTGAGGGTAAAGAGACCCCCAAGGATATGGCATGGAGTCCCTTCATGAAAAGGGTCTAGTGAGTATTTGAGTGCTTTAAAGCATTTATGAGTCACCTTTTGTCATCTAGCCTAGTGTGGCGAGCGATCTGTCAAAAACATACTGCTAAGATCAGAGCAAAACAACCCTTTTACTCCAGTTGCTTCATTTAGAGCCCACCTTTCTTGCCAAGAATTACGGCAGCTTGCCCACTTTAATGCAATGCCAAAGGAGCCAGTACAAAGCAAACAGCAAATGATGCAATGGGACCAGATGGCAGGGTGGAGAAGAAGGTACACCAAACGGAACAGTACAGGATACACAGTGAGTTGCCAGAGATTCTCTTTGCCTTGGCCCTTGAAGACACCCCAGTGGGCGGAGCAAACGGAAGGGGGTGGGCCAACACATGCACAACTCCATGGGTCACATGCACAACAACTGAGTGACCCTGGTCAGGTTCCTGGGCTGCGGGGGGGAGGGGAGTATAACGAGGACGCCTTGCGCACCCTGGAAATGCGCCCTGCATCTTGGGACAGAATACTGCTCCCTGGCAATAAACTCCGCCTTAGCGGACGTCTCCTATTCGACACAGGTGCCCAAAGGCCTTGCCTACAGATCCCGTTGTGGTCAGAGTTAGCCAAGGAGATTCAGGTTCGAATCCTTACTCTGCCCGGGAAGCTCGCCGGGTGGCCTTGGGCCAGTCACACGCTCTTCGCCTAGCCTACCTCACAGGGTGGTTGTGAGGATACAAACGGAGAAGGAGAGAACGTTGCAAGCCGCGTCGGTTCCCCACTGGAGGCAAAAGCGGGGCATAAATGAATAAGAACGAGCGCTGGCTGGGGTGGGCAGGTGTACTTGGACCTCTCTCCCCCCCCCCCCCCCCCGCATGGGCCCTGCTGGCTGAACGCAAACTCCCTGGTCAGGGGCAGTCTACCTCCGGGGCGCAACTGCACGGGGCCGGGAGAGAGGGCGAGCGCGCTGGCCCCCGGCGGAGCTGCATTGCAGGGGCTCCGCTGCCGCCTCCCCCCGGCCCGGGCTCGGGAGCTTCCCAGGCTGGAGGCGGTGGGGGTGGCCGGGCGGGCGGCCCCTCGCAGCTGTTGCCCCCTCCCTCCTTCCCTCCCTCCCTCCTTGGAGGCGGCGGCGACGGCGGCAGCTGCTTCTCCCGCCGCAGAGCGGCCCCTGCGCCAGGCGCGCCGTGCCAGCCGGACGGACGCAGCACGAGGCGCCTGCCCGCTGCCCGCTCCCTCCCTCGCCCAGCGTCTTCCAAGGGACCGCCGCGGCCGGCTCGGGGGGCCCCGCCAGCCAGGTAAGGCCCGTGGTCCCAGCCGGGGGTCCCATCCGCCAGGCCCCTCGCCCCGGCCGCCCCCAGCCAGCGCTGGGCCCCCGCCCCGCCCCCCACTCCCGCGGCTGCAGGAGGCGGCTATATTAGGAAAGTGACCTCGGCTCGCTCGCCGTGCGGCGCCTCGCCTCGCCTTCTATAGCCGCGCTAGGCTGCCCTGCCGGCCTCTGCCGCCCCGGGCCCATGGAGCGTGTGGCCCCGGCCTGGAGAGGGGGGTGGGTGGGAAGAAGAGACGGGAAACGCTTCGGCCGGGGCGCGGTCGCGGGGGGGGGCAGCGAACTGGGATTGAAATGTTCGGCAGGACTTGTGGGGGAGAGACCACGTCCTTCCCGTGCCGGAACACTAAACGCCTGGGGGTGTCTCCGGTCGCCAGGAGTGGAGGGAGGTTCGTCAGTCTCCACGCCAGGTCGCTGTTAGCTTGTGGAACTCCGTGCCACCAGACCGCTAGTTCTGATCCCTTGGAAGGGGGAGTAGGCAGGTTTACCAAGAGCTGTGCCCTGCGGGAGTCGAGTGGCCCTGAGCAGTGTTCCCTCTAAGCTGAGTTAGTGTGAGCTAGCTCACAGTTTTTTAGCCTCCGGCTCACACATTTTTGCCTTAGCTCAGGGAGGATGGCTCCAGAGTAAACTGATTTATGCAGCAGCCAAATTGCTCACTCACAACTTTAATGCCAGTAGCTCACAAAGTAGAATTTTTGCTCACAAGACTCCACAGCTTAGAGGGAACATTGGCCCTGAGACCTCCGAGTCCCCAATGCTGGGGGCAAGAGAAGTCCATGCCCTGCCTGGGGGCTTCCTGCGGCCCCCTGCCTAGCGGCTGTTGGAACCAGGATGCGATCTCGGCCCCCTCCGTGACCTTGGAGAGCAAGGCAATGCCATGCACGCGCTTGCTGCGAAGCTTTTCTGCATGCGCCTGAGCAGACTAACACCATCGTAGTGCCTGTCCAGATTTCACCCCTCCTGCGAACTCACAAGGCAACCTGAAGGAGGGAAGCTGTGTCCTCTCAGCCCCTCTTAGGGAGGCTGAGGCCTTCTTCACCAGAAGCATGGAAATCCCTGTCCAGAGCTCCCAAGTTTCCCTTTCCTTTGTAAAAGCAGCCACATGGGAGAGGGGGATCTTGTTTGGCTGGGGGGCTGGCTACCCCTCCTCCTCCTAGATGCCTGCCAGGAAAAGGCCCTGCTATTTATAAGGGGAAATGCAAGCGTTCCAGCGGTACCTTAAGGACTAACAAGATTCATTTGTTTTGGTGTGTCAGAGCTCAGAGGCAAGAAGAGGCACCTGCCAAAGTTGGGTCTGGCTCACCAAAGCCTCTGCTTGTGCGTTTGTCCGGTGCCACTAGAGTCCGGCCACAGACGTCTGAGTACAACTCTGGAATTATTCCCAAAGAAAAAAGAAGCCGCCAGGAAGATCCAAAAGTGGAACTCCCAGGGCCGGCTCGAGTTTGGTCCTCCTAACACTTGTAGCGTCCTTTCCAGAGAAGGCCTAGGGTGCTCCAAAAATGCTTCTTCCAATGCAGATTACTATGTGGGTTCCCTATATTATGTGCAAATGATGTGTTTTGGCAGTTGTCATGGAAGGAGGTCACCGTCCACATTCCTAGCAAGGTTAATCGGGCCGGCAAAAAGGAATGTGAAACGGTTGCGCTCAGTGTTCCCTCTAAGCCAGTGGTGGCGAACCTATGGCACGGGTGCCAGAGGTGGCACTCAGAGCCCTCTCTGTGGGCACACATGCCATCGCCCCAGCCAGGCCCAGACCATCATTAAAGTGTCGAATTCGCTGCCAAATAATTTTAAGTAAATGAAAGCATTTGGGATTGCTTTCCTTACTTTGTTTGGATCATCTTAAGTTAATGTATGAGTTGTTTTTTCTAAAGTAAAACCTCAGTATTCAGGTTAAATTGCCGTGTTGGCACTTTGCGATCAATAAGTGAGTTTTGGGTCGCAGTTTGGGCACTCGGTCTCTAAAAGGTTCGCCATCACTGACCTACAGGGTTTAATTCTGGGTATAAGCTTTCGTGTGGATGCACCTTTAAGACCTACGGCAGTGGTGGCGAACCTATGGCACGGGTGCCAGAGGTGGCACTCAAAGCCCTCTCTGTGGGCATGCGTGCCATCACCCCAGCCAGGCCTAGACCGTCATTAAAGTGTGGAGTTCTCTGCCAAATAATTTTAAGTAAATAAAATCATTTGGGATTGCTTTCCTTACTTTGTTTGGATCATCTTAAGTTAATGTATGAGTTGTTTTTTCTAAAGTAAAACCTCAGTATTCAGGTTAAATTGCCGTGTTGGCACTTTGCAATCAATAAGTGGGTTTTGGGTTGCAGCTTGGGCACTCGGTCTCTAAAAGGTTCGCCATCACTGCTCTAAGCAAGCTGAGTTCATGTGAGCTAGCTCGCAGTTTTGTAGCCTCTGGCTCTCACATTTTTGTCTCAGGAAGGAGGGCTCCAGAGCAAACTAATTTATGCAGCAGCCAAATTGCTCACTCACAACCTTAATGCCTGGAGCTCACAAAGTAGAATTTTTGTTCACAAAACTCCACAGCTTAGAGGGAGCACCCGCGCTCCTTTCTCTGAAAACGGGAGGTCTGAAGGCTCCTGGCCCTGCGCTTTGCCTCAGCAGGGCTCGAGTCGGCCTTCGGCAGCTGATGCAATTGTCCCTGTTAATAAGGAGCATCTCTTGCGTTGTGCAGTTCCGGAGCACGGCACTTGGCAGCCGGCCACAAACTCAGCATTCTGATCCCAGTCCAAGGAACGAGATGATGTGATCTGAAGTTTGCTGCTGAGGGAAGGTCAGGAGGGACATCGCAGCCCCTTTCTTTTATCCACAGCTGGTGTCCTTTTGCAAAGTGGATTCAGGTCACAGAGGATGGCTTTTCTCTGACTCGGAAAAAGGGACATTCTTTGGAGGTCTTCAGACAGAGGCTAGATGGCCATCTGACAGCAATGCTGATCCTGTGAACGTAGGCAGATCGTGAGAGGGAGGGCAGGAAGGGTTGCATCAGTGCTTAGTTCTCGTGGCCCTTTCTTACACGCCCAGGGAAATGCTGATGGCCACTTTGAAGAAGAAGAGATTGGATTTATACCCCGCCCTTCACTACCCAAAGGAGTTTCAGAGTGGCTTCCAAACTCCTTTCCCTTCCCCTCCCCACGACAGACACCCTGTGAGGGAGGTGGGGCTGAGAGAGAAGAAGAGATTGGATGTATACCCCATGGCCCTTCACTACCCGAAGGAGTCTCAGAGCGGCTCACAAACTCCTTTCCCTTCCCCTCCCCACAACAGACACCCTGTGAGGTAGGTGGGCCTGAGAGAGCTCTTGACAGAGACTGCTCTTTTTCAAGAACAGCTCTTATCAGAACTATGGCTTGCCCAAGGTCATCCAGCAGGTGCAAGTGGAGGAGTGGAGAATCAAACCCAGTTCTCCCAGATTAGAGTCCGCACACTTAACCACTGCACTAAACTGGCTTTGGGGTCAGGAAGCAATTTTTCTCCAGGCCAGTTCGTCTGGAGATCCTGGAGGGTTTTTTGTCATCTCCTGGGCATTGAACAGGGGTCTCTGGGGGTGTGGAGGGGGAGGTATTTGTGAATTTCCTGCATTGTGCAGTTGCCATAAGTTGTCTGTATCTTGATATGTGTGTGTAAGATTGCAAATTATGTCGCCCATTTGTAGGCATTCTGGGAGGGGACCGCCTCTCCCCCTATGAGCCCCGGAGAGCTTTGCGCTCTTCTGATCAAGATCTCCTGGTGGTCTCTGGGCCAAGGGATGTCCACTTAGCCTCGACCAGGGTGAGGGCTTTTTCGGCCCTCGCCCCGGCCTGGTGGAACCTGCTCCCACTTGAGATCAGGGGCCAATGTTCCCTCTAAGCTGTGGAGTCTTGTGAGCAAAAATTCTACTTTGTGAGCTACTGGCATTAAAGTTGTGAGCGAGCCATTTGGCTACTGCATCAATTTGTCTGCCCTGGAGCCCTCCTTCCTGAGCTAAGACAAAAATGTGTGAGCCAGAGGCTAAAAAACTGTGAGCTAGTTCACCCTAGCTCAGCTTAGAGGGAACATTGATCAGGGCCCTGTGAGACTTAGCCCAGTTCCACAGGGCCTGTGAAACGGAGCGGTTCCGCCAGGCCTTTGCTTGAGGCGGTGGGCGTGCAATCTTTTCTGGGGGGCCCTGTCCTGTCCACAGCACTGTTCTCTGACTCCCCCCCCCCCCCAGTGCCCTACTGTGTCTAGACACCATCTGGACACTGGCGTTTTTAGGGCAATGATGTTGTACTATATGGGCTTGATAATCTGCTATGGCTACCTATTGTTTTGTTTTTTTAAGTACCCAAAGGTACACTTTTATTAATTTTTCTTTTATAACTACAACAAACAAATCTACACACTACAAACAGACACTCTACTACACATAACATATATTCCAAGAGTACAGTTACATTATATGCTTATATCCAATTACTTAATTAATAAAAACGCTCTATCAAACACTGTCCATTCTTCTGTCTTCTGTGTTCTCAAGTCCATTGTGCTATAATTGCCTAATCTTCTATTATATTTACATTATACCAATAACACAACTTTTCCCATGTTTTTTGAAATGTCCACTCTTTGCCTAATCTCATTTCTAAAGTCAGTTTATCATTTTTTGCTGTTTCAAAAAGTTTATTCACAAACTCCTGTTTCATTGGTATCACCATAGTTTCCCAATACTTGGCATATAAAATTCTTGCAGCTGTCGTCATATAAACAGTCAAATACCTATTCTCTTTTTCATAATCATTTGGAAATATATTCGACAGCAAGACCTCTGGAGTAAATGGAACCTTTGCTCTTAATATCTTCTCCATCAAACTATGGACCCATTTCCAAAACTTTTTTTGTAACATCGCATAGCCACCACATATGATAAAATGTGCCCCTTTTACTCTTACATTTCCAGCATTTATCAGAACAGTTAATATTTTGCTTAGCCAATCTATCAGGTGTAATATACCATCGATAAAATATCTTATACATATTCTCTTTATATGTTATTTTTCTCCCAAATCTGCCCCCAATCTTCAAGCTACCTATTGTTTTATTGTTTGTATTGTATGCTGATTTTATGTTCTAAGCTGCCCTGAGCCCATTTTTGGGGGGTTAGGGCGGGGCATACATTTAATAAGTAGATAAGGGAGCTCATGTGGGCTCCACCCACTAACAGTCTCTTTTTCTGTCTCCCTTCCCCCAGCCCCCCAAAAGAACATCTCCGCCATGAGCCGCAGAGTGGTGCGTCAGAGCAAATTCCGGCATGTCTTTGGGCAGCCGGTCAAGGCGGACCAGATGTATGAAGACATCCGGGTGTCCAAAGTGACGTGGGACAGCTCCTTCTGCGCCGTCAACCCCAAGTTCCTGGCCATCATTGTCGAGTCCGGAGGCGGAGGCGCCTTTATGGTGATCCCTCTGGCCAAGGTACGAGCGGGGTGGGGGGTGGGGGAGCCTTTTCTCATTTATGTCAGATCCGGCCCTCATAACAAATGAGTTTGACACCCCTGCATTAAAGGAAATAAACTGCAGCTGGGAAATGGTACTCCACAGTAAGGCCTCGCTTTGCGTGTGGTCTCTTGCCGTCCCCTGACCTGGGTGGCCTTGGCTAGACAAATCTTGGAAGCTCAAGCCGGGTCGGCCTTGGTCGGCCTTGGGATGGGCAGAGGTCATTTCGGGGGGGAACGCGGGGGAACACAGTTCCCCCGGGTGAAGTGCAGGGGGGCGGGGCACATGACAAAGCCCCGCCCCCTGCTTCCGGCCGCCCCGCTTCCAGCCCTCATTCAGCCAGGAGGAGGCAGGAGAAGAGGGGAGGGTAAGTTGCTTCCTCCCCGCCTCTCCCCACCCCTGCCTGCCTGGGGCCAGGGAGGGCCTTGACGGGGCTTCCTTGCACTCCCGCCGGCCTTGCAGGTCCACCGCCGGGCCCCTGATGCCAGGGGGTGTGGCATATGCTAATGAGTTATGCTAATGAGTTCCCCTAGCTCTTTTTCTACGAAATGACCCCTGGGGATGGGAGACCACCAAGGGAGTCCAGAGTGGATAGACCACGGCCCTTCTGGTTGCTGGGTGGGCCGAGTTTTGAAGGGGAGGTGCCTCTGATTCTGAGTGCTCAGACCATTCTTTCTTTCTTTGTTTATTTATTTGATTTATACCCCACCCTCCCCGTCCAGCAGGTTTTAAAAACAGATAAAACATAGCAAATATAAATATACATATAAACATATAAAACTTAATATGAAGTGCTAGTATGCCATTAGTCCTCCTTGACTGACCATTCTGGCTTAGTGTATGCCAGCTTTTGAGACTGGGTCCCATTACAGCCATGCTTGAATAAGAATTATTCGAAACGCGGCATCAGGCATCCGGATTACGCGTCGGCTTTTTATGGCTCAGAAAATTTGATGACTTACTCTTCAATTTGGACTCTGATATTTGCTTCTATTTTGGAGTAGACACATGGAAAGACTGTAGACTGTGCTTCTATTATGCTTTATTATTGCACCCAATGTTCCCTCTAAGCTGTGGGGTCTTGTGAGCAAAAATTCTACTTTGTGAGCTACTGGCATTAAAGTTGTGAGCGAGTGATTTGGCTGCTGGATAAACTAGTTTGCTCTGGAGCCCTCCTTCCTGAGCCAAGACAAAAATGTGTGAGCCAGAGGCTCAAAAACTGTGAGCTAGCTCACACTGACTCAGCTTAGAGGGAACACTGATTGCACCTTGGCCAATTGACTCATATTATACTTGCTGTTATGCTTATTTGATCATTATATACTTGCTTATTTGCTTGTGCGTTCATTTTCTGTCAGTGCTGTTTTCTTTTTTGTTCCCATTAGTGTAATATGGGCAAGGCAATAGTAGCAAACCATTACAATGAGGTACAGTCAGCATTTGATGTCAGTTCATATTGGCGGCGCACAGGCTGTCGGTGATGGTATTAGGGCGCAGGGTCTTAAACTCATTAGGCGTGGCTCCTTACTTGAATGCCTGGTGGAGGAGCTCTGTCTTGCAGGCCCTGCGGAACTGTAAAAGGTCCCGCAGGGCCCTGGTGTCTTCCGGGAGCCGCCACGGAAAAGGCCCTAGCCATAGTCGAGGCCAGCCTTGCATCCTTGGGACCCAGGAGGGCCAGACAGTTTTGGGACCCCGAACGCAGTGCTCTCTGGGGAACTTGTGGGGAAAGGCGGTCCCTCAGGTATGTTGGCCCCTGCCGATAAAGGGCTTTATAAAGGTAAGAACCAGCACCTTGAAGCGAATTCGGTACACTGTAGGCAGCCAGTACAGCGCTTTCAGTGCAGGCTGGATGTGCTCCTGCATGGGGAGGCCTGACAGCAGCCTGGCTGCCGCATTCTGCACCAGCAGAAGCTTCCAAATTTGGGACAAGGGCAGCCCCATGTAGAGAGCACTACAGTAGTCCAATCTCGAGGTGACCATGGCGTGGACCACTGTCGCCAAGTTGTTGTGTTCGAGGAAGGGAACCAACTGCCTAATCAGCCGAAGATGATAAAAGGCTGACTTTGCAGTGGCTACTAACTGGGCCTCCATCAGTAAGGATTGTTTCCTCAATAACCTACTACTAAGATATTCCATTCCTGATGACCTCCTTAGCTCCTCAACAAATAACTCAGATCTCAGAGAATGGGTATTTAAGCATGATGCTCTGCTACATAGACACTTAATTTTAAAAACACAGTCTGCTACCTGGTTTAAATCATTTAAGACTGATCATTTTAGATCACCTTATCTGGTTAATATAGATAATCATAACCTTAGAGCAGCGTTTACATCTTTGCGCTTTGAATCAATGCCTACGGCCGTGTTGGTCAGCCGTTATAATAGAACACCCAAGGCACAGCATTTATGTATCTGTGGCTCTTCTGCTATTGAGGATCTCTCCCATTACATTTTTGATTGCTCATTGTACTCCCAGCCTAGGTCAAAATTTTTATCTGGTATTTTATCAATTTTAAGCTTTTATTCAGTCCCAGAGAAGATTACATTTTTGCTAGCCGATGCTAATGCCGATGTTTCCAATAGAATGGCTTTATTTGCCTTGGCTGCAAGGAAGATACGGGCCAACGCTGCTCCTAGCTAATACTGATTTTAGTGGGTATGTTGTGAATTAATTAACTGTTCATAACCTCGGTTTTATGGATTTATAATGTTGGACTGTATCTTATTTTATACAATTTTTACGTTTTATTGTGTTCTTCTCTGTCTGTGGTTTGTAATGGCCTATGGCTAAATACAATAAAATCTCTTAAGGAGGCATGCAGGACCACTCCCAGACTCCTAACCTCTGGCGCTGGCACCAGCGGTGCCCCATCGAAGGTTGGGAGTGGGATCCCTAACCCCCGGGCCACCTTGACTCAGGCACAGGACCTCCATCTTCATCGGATACAATTTCAGCTGGCTCAGCCTAAGCCAGCCAGCCACGGCTTGCAACACCTGGTCCAGATCTTAAGGTCTAGAGTCAGACTGGCTGCCCAACAACAGATAGAGTGGGGTGTCATTAGCATGCTGGTGACATCCCAGCCCATGCCTCCGGGCAATCTGGGTGAGGGGGCGCATATACATGTTAAACATCATCGGGCAGAGTACCACCTCTTGGGGCACTCCACATACGGGTGCCTTAGGGACAGCTGCTCCCCTAATGCCACCCTTTGTCTCCGACCCTGGGGGAACGAGGAGGACCCCTGCAAGGCAGACCCCTGAATCCCAGAGTCGGTGAGGTGGTGGATCAATAACTGGTGGTCGACCGTGTTGAATGCTGCCGACAGGTCTACCAACAACAGCACTGCCGAACCGCCCCGATTCTGCGCTCCTGGTGATTCTTTAAGGAATTCTGCGAGGTACGCCAGCGGAATCCTCCCTGCCGAATAAGGCCAGTGGCATAATATGACTAAGGCTTGCCTTAAATCTCCTAACAAGGTAATGGCTGGTGAAGGATTTCAGCTGAGGATTTCCAAAGTGTACATCAGGGCAGCTCTCCTAAACAGAGTGCCGGTTCCGATATTATCGAGTCCCCTGCATATCCACCCGGATCCTTTTGACACACATAATATGGGAATTCTGTGCTCAGAACTTCATTCCCAGATGCACAGGGGTCCAACCTGGATCGGAATCCTGGCACAGGAGGGGAGAGGGCCTTTCTCCGATGCCGTTTTCCCCACCTGAACAGGTCCCTGGGAGCTGCTGTTTGTCCTGTTGGGTTAACTTTCATGTAGCCCATCAGTACAAGTCAGTTTCCCCGCTGGGGCAAATAGTTGTTCCCTGGGACAGATTCAGATCAGGAAAACAGCACAGAGGGAAGGGGGAGGCCTCCTCTCCCTCCAGTCCACAGTCCCGATTCGAATTGGGTCTACGTGCACCTGGGAATTAACTTCTGAGCGCATGAATCCCAGAGCACATCTGCTGAGAGGACCTGGGAACTTTGTAACGTGAACTGGCCCCAGGTGTCTGTTGTGGGGAGGGGAAGGGAAAAGGAGTTTGTGAGCCGCTCTGAGACTCCTTTGGGTAGTGAAGGGCGGGGGTATCAATCCAATCTCTTCTTCTCCTTCTTCTTAAATGCTTGTCCGTTTGTTCTCTGGCCAAGCAACTTCACCCTCTGCAGTCTACGCAGACCTGTGGGGTTTTCTTTCCCACATGCCAGCTGTAATTTTTGTTACCCTGATGTTCATCGAACTTAATGTGTGTGAACTGGCTTGAGTCTCGAGTTAATTGAGATCCTTTTGGGTTGATTGCCTTAATCCTCCAACATGTCTGTAATCCCTTCCACTTAAAAACTTCCAACTGCTCACTGTTACTTAACCTACAGGTGTTGGCCAGGATGACTCTCTGTAGAACTCCACTGGATAGGGGTGGAAAACGCCATCCAGTTGCAGCCGAGCTGTAGAGTTTTCGGGGCAAGAGACAAACTGAGGTGGTTTGCCGTTGTCAGGACTTCCATGGTGGTCCTTGGAATCGTGGTTAAGTGCACAGACTCTAATCTGGGAGAACGGGGTTTGGTTCCCCACTCCTCCACTTGCACCTGGCTGGATGACCTTGGGCAAGCTGTAGCTCTGATAAGAGCTGTTCTTGATAAAGAGCCGTTTCTGTCAAGAGCTCTCTCAGCCCTGCCTACCTCACAGGGTGGCTGTTGTGGGGAGGGGAAGGGAAAGGAGTTTGTAAAGAGCTCTGAGACACCTTTGGGTAGTGAAAGGCGGGGTATAAACCCAATCTCTTCTTCTCTCTCAGCCCCGCCTACCTCACAGGGTGTCTGTTGTGGGGAGGGGAAGGGAAAGGAGTTTGTGAGCTGCTCTGAGACTCCTTTGGGTAGTGAAGGGTGGGGTATAAATCCAATATCATCTTCTCTCTCAGCCCCACTGACCTCACAGGATGTCTGTTGTGGGGAGGGGAAAGGAAAGGAGATTGTAAACCACTCTGAGATCCCTTTGGGTAGTGAAGGGCCATGGGGTATAAAGCCAATCTCTTCTTCTCTCTCAGCCCCACCTACCTCACAAGGGGTCTGTTGTGGGGAGGGGAAGGGAAAGGAGTTTGTCAGCCGCTCTGAGACCCCTTTGGGTAGTGAAGGGCCATGGGGTATAAAGCCAATCTCTTCTTCTCTCTTATCCCCACCTGCCTCACAGGGTGTCTGTTGTGGGGAGGGGAAGGGAAAGGAGTTTGTGAGCCGCTCTGAGACTCCTCTGGGTAGTGACGGGCGGGGTATAAATCCAATCTCCTCTTCTCTTCTTCTTCTTCATCCGCAGACGAACCAGGGCCAGCCTTGCTTAAGTTCTGAGAACTGGGCCATCCCGGCCACAGCAAAATGCTGCTGGATACCTCTTTCTAATTTGATGTTTATCCATTATTATCATTAGCAGTAATAGCATTGAGTCAAGGAATCCTATCGCCCTGGGGCTGATACTCTACTGCATCTTTCCTGGATATCATCCCTTGGTTCCTGAGCTCCATTATACTCCTTTTTTTCTTATTGGTATCCAGCAGCCAGCAGGTGCTCCTGCATCATCCCTTGAAAGGTCATGGTGTGTGTGTGTGTGTGGAAAGGGCTGTCAAGACCCCAGAGGGTCTCCAAGGCAAAGAGACAAGCAGAGGCAGTTGGCCACCGCCTGCCCCTGCGCAGTGACCCTGAGTCTCCTTGGTGGTCCCCCATCCCAGCACTAGCCGGAGCCAACCCTGCTTAGCTTCTGAGATCTGCTGGGACTGGGCCGGCCTGGGCTTCCCAGGTCAGGGTCGGAAGGGCTCACCTGTGTCCAAATCCTTGCTGAGCTGCCCCCCCTGCCGCTGCTGAGAGACAGGCTGGAGCAGTTGGCTGGGTGGAGACAGCAGGGCTCACAGGACTGGAGTGACTCACCTCGGGAACAATTGCAGTGACGGCAGGAAGTTGGAGGGGAGGCCACTTTTTTCCACGGCTCAGGTTTCCAGCGGGGCTGTTTACCGAGAACGGCGCATTCGCCGCATGAGAATGGAAGCTGGAGGTGACCTGTTCAAGGTCACGGTCAGGGCTGGAACCCAGGCGTCCGGGCGTCCGCACGAATCAGGGCACTGGGACTACTGAGAAAGCCAGCAAGGCACAAAGGGATCCCGGAAGGGCCTGAAGACCTTTCAGCCCCCTTCCCCACCCCCCAGCCAGGAACTGAAGTCCTGGTTCACACATTCAGGAGAAGAAAAAGAGGTTGGGTTTATACCCCCCTTCACTACCCAAAGGAGCCCGAGAGCGGCTTACAGTCTCCTTTCCCTTCCCCTCCCCACAACAGACACCCTGTGAGGTAGGTGGGGCTGAGAGAGCTCTCTCCAGAACTGACCTTGAGAGGACAGCTCTGAAAAAAATGGTGACTGACCCAAGGGCACACCGGCAGCTGCACGGGGAAGGAGAGGGGAATCAAACCCAGTTACCCCAGATTAGAGTCTGCGCTCCTAACCTCTGCACCAAACTGGCTCTCTGAGTGAGATTGGAGAGCTCCAGGGGGATAGGATGGAGGCGGGTAGTACTTCCAACGGCAGATGAAGGATCCCCAGTTAGAACACTCCTCTAGGCTGCATGCTATGTGCTATCAAGTTGTTTCCAATTTATGACGATCCTCTGAATTAATGACCTCCAAAACGTCTTATCATTAACACCTGTCCTCAAGTCTTGCGAACCAAAGGCCTTGGCTACCTTTATTGAGTCCATCCGTTTCCTGTTGGGTCTTCCTCTTTTCCTGCGACATTCAACTTTTCCTATCATTATTGTCTTTTCCAGCGATTCTTGTTTACTCGTGATATGACTGACGTACAATAGCCTCAGTCTGGTGCTTTAGCTTCTAGGGGGAACTGAGAATTGATTTGATCAGGAGCTCACTGATTTGTCTTTTTGAACATAAAAACATAAGAGACGCCAATGTTGGATCAGGCCAAAGGCCCAACCAGTCCAACACTCTGTATTCACACAGTGGCCAGAAATACCAGTGCCATCAAGAGGTCCACCAGTGGGGCCAGGACATCTTCCCACTGTTGACCCCCCCCAAGCACCAAGAAGACAGAGCATCACTTGCCCCAGAACCCCTATCTATACCTTGTGGCTAATAGCCACTGATGGACCTCTGCTCCATATGCTTATCTAATTCCCTTTTGAAGCCGTCCATGCTTGTAGCCGCCACCACCACTTCCTGTGGCGGTTCATGGTATCCCTAAAACGCCTCCAGCACCACATTTCAAATGAATCAATTTTCTTCCTTTCCTTTGTCTTCACTGTCCAACTTTCACATCCATACATAGTAATGGGGAATAGCCTAGGGAGAACTATGTTGATCTTGGTCTGCTGCAACACTTTTTATACTTTTGTCGTTCCCCAGGTTGAGTCTCGTTTCCTAGGTTAAGTCTTCGCTAACAGAAAACCAGCATGCCAAGCCAAGTGTGGGAAGGCGGGGGGGGAGGGGCGCCCCCTTTTTATGTTGCACTAGATCTCTCTCTGTGGGGAGTTTTTTATGGGAAGGAATCTTCAGAGCAGGAACCTTTGCAGTCTCTTCTCGCACCTCTGGGCTTTGCCTCCCCATTCTCTTGTGCATAAGAACCAAGTGTGAAGCCTCGTTCTCCCTGACGGTTTTTCAAGCTGCGGTCTGAACACCCATTGGAAGTTGATCAGAATGCATTAAAGCAGGGGTGTCAAACATGCGGCCCGGGGGCCGGATCAGGCCCCTGGAGGGCTTCTATCAGGCCCGCAGTGGAACTGGCTGTCTTCTGCTTCTTCTTCCAGTTCTGCTGCTTCTGCATCATCGTAGGTTTTCAGCTTACAGATACACACCTGAACAGCATACTCAAGGTTGCAACAGCACAGACATTTTGTTGCAGTAATTCAGAGCGAGAGGTGTCAGTTATCAGACACTGTTAAATTTACCGAAAACTCTCCCTCTGTGTTTTCAGTCCGGACGTGTGGACAAGAACTTTCCCTTGGTGACCGGGCATACGGCCCCCGTGCTGGACATTGACTGGTGCCCCCACAACGACAACGTCATCGCGAGTGCGTCTGAGGACACGACGGTCATGGTAGGTGGTGCCACAGAGGGGAAGGTGTCGAGGAAGTTCAAGTGGGGCTTTGTAGAGCTTTCTTGCTTTACTTATTTATTTATTAAATTATTTTTTTAAACCACCCTCCCCGATGGAATAGGGCTCAGGGTGATGTAGATCGGTAAAGACCAGCAACGTACACATTCACAGTTAAAATAACAGAATCCGTAATTTACATTAATATAACAGTACAAAAGGAGCTGCGGTGGCTCAAGTGGTTAAGACGCTGAACTGCAGGCTGTGGAAGGTCAGTAGTTCAGTTCGAGACCCGGGTGCCGCATGATGGAGTGAGCTCCCGTCTCTAGTTCCAGCTCCTGCCAACCTAGCAGTTCGAAAGCAAGAAATTGCAAGTAGATAAATAGGTACCGCTTTGGTGGGAAGGGAACAGCGTTCTGTGCGCCTCGGCGTCTAGTCATGCCGGCCACATGACCACGGAAATGTCTTCGGACAGCGCTGGCTCTTCGGCTTTGAAACGGAGATGAGCACCGCAACCCTAGAGTTGGACTCGACTGGCTTTCGAGCAAGGGAACCTTTACCTTTTAACAGTACAAACCTAGAACCGATAACATGGTGAGAGGACAGCCAGAATATGGTACTGCCTCATGGGGGCGGGGGGGAGAAGTAGGACAAACAGGAGTACCAGACAGATGGAAACAGTCGCCGTCCTTAACCAAACGCCTGGCGGAACATCTCTGCCTTACAGGCCCTGCGGAACTCCATTGAGTCCTGCAGGGCATGGACGTTCTTTGGCAGAGAGTTCCGCCAGGTTGGGTCAAGGACAGCCAGGTGTCTTTCGGGCTGGGGACCACCAGTAGGTTCTTATCAACCAAGCACAGTGTTCTGTGGGGGTAGGGTATACCGGGAGAGGTGGTCCCAAAGATACATGGTCCCAGACCATTAAGGACCTTAAATGTTAATACCCTAACCCAATGTTCCCTCTAAGTTGTGTCTTGTAAGCAAAAATTCTACATTGTGAGCTACTGGCATTAAAACTGTGAGCAAGTGATCGGGCTACTGCATAAATTAGTTTGCTCTGGAGCCATCCTTCCTAAGCCAAGACAAAAATGTGTGCGCCAGAGGCTAAAAGACTGTGAGCTAGCTCACACTGCTTAGGAGGAACACTGCCGTAACTTTGAACCTGATCCGGTACTCCACTGGAAGCCAATGCAGCTCACTCAGCACACAGCAAATATGTGCTGTACGCGGAGTCCCTGTAAGGAGCCACGCTGCTGCATTCTGGATCAGTTGGAGTTTCCGGGTCAGTCTCAAGGATAGCCGTACGTCGAGCTAGTTGTTGAGAGGGAAGGACAAACGGGGTCAGAGGCGAGGGGCGTGGGCCCAAATGAGAGAGCCAGTTTGGTGTAGTGGTATGAGTGTGCGGACTCTAATCTGGGAGAACCGGGTTTGATTCCCCACTCCTCCACTTGCACCTGGCTGGATGACCTTGGGCAAGCCACAGTTCTGATAAGAGCTGTCCTTGAAAAAGAGCAGTTTCTGTCAAGAGCTCTCTCAGCCCCACCTCCCTCACAGGGTCTCTGTTGTGGGGAGGGGAAGGGAAAGGAGTTTGTAAGCCGCTCTGAGACACCTTTGGGTAGTGAAGGGCGGGGTATAAATCCAATCTCCTCCTCCTCTTCTTCTTCTTCTTCCTCCTCTTCTTCTTCTTCTTCTTTTGGAAGAGAGGGGTGCCGCAGCAGAGACCCCACGAATGGGTGGGGTGGTCTTACTGCAGGCAGGGGATGTCCGATGAAGCCACAAGAGGGATCCACCTCATTCGGGGGTAGTCATTATCTCTCCGGCGCATTCAGATTTCTGCCCTCTTGATTACGGGCACACCGAGGGAGAAGCAACCCCCCACACACACACACGCACACACGCACGTCTGTGGTTCTTAACCTGCCTTCTCCTGCCTTTTGGTGAGTGCGAAGGCTGTGGGGGTGAAGGGCGAGCGAGGGAGCACGTAAGGATGACGTGCCGGTTTTAGAATGAAAACCCTTCCGTAGAAATCACTGCGGGGGGGATTCAGACCGGCTGTTCTTTGGGTTCCGCACTTTTTGTCCTTGACTTTAGCCAAACATTTGGCCGCGAGCCCCCAAGCTGTCCGGTGCCCAGATGCCTTCCCTCCCTCTTCAAAGCCCCAGCAGCCAGAGTCCCCTTTAAATGACTGGAAACGGCCGGGGGGGTCTGTTTATAGCCGGACTGCCAGGCGAGTGCCGGGGCTGGCGGCTGCCTCTGTGGGTATGATGCAGCGTTTTGGGCCAAGAATAGCTCCGTGGAAAGACTCGGCACCTAAGAATAGCCGGCCTTGGGCTGCTGCGGGGGTCGGGCCGCTCCCCTGGGTGTTCCTTTCTTTTCTAAGGCACCGGCTGCAGTGCGAAGCAAACCCAGAAGAACAGAGGTCATCGTGATGTAGGGGAGATGGGAAGAGCAGATGTGTTCCCCAGGGACTGAGCAGATTGGGGGGGGGCACCTGGTTGACCTATGACTGCAATGGCACATTTCCCCCCCCCCCCCATTGATTTCCCCCCCCCCCCCATTGGTGGGGCCCCAGTGCCCACTGACAGCAGAGAACGGTGGGCAGGAAGACAATTCCGCTCACCCTGCTCTTGCCGGGTCTCCTCTCCAGGCCATCTAGGGTCGCCAACCTCCAGACGGTGTCTGGAGATCTCCCGGAATTACAACTGATCTCCTGGTGACAGGGATTCGTTCCTCTGGAGGAAACAGTTGCTTTGGAAGGTGGACTCTCGGGCATAGTATCCCACTGACCTCCCCAGTTCTCCCTGCTGGGCTGGTTTTCTATTTTTTATTTATTTATTTATTCGTTTGATTTATATCCCGCCCTCCCAGAGGCTCAGGGCAGCTCACATGCGGCAAAGCCGAGTGCAAAATACAATACAGTATATAATAAATAGAACATTTAAAATCACAATAGCAAAAGCACAATAGCAAAAATGGCATTTTATAATGCCAGTGAATTTTCAAAGCAGAATCACTCTTTCTGCAGGGGGTAGGTTGGCCCAAGGGGGGTTAATCAGCCTATTTTGGACTTTACATAGCACCTTCCATGTGGCATGTGTGTTATCAACCTGGAAATCTTTACAGAAACAAGCAGCATTACACAGAAAGGACGGGGAACAAAGTTTCAGTCCAGTGGCACCATTAAGACCAACCAAGTTTTATTCAAGGAATAAGCGTTCATGTGCAAGCACACTTCTTCAGATACAGTGAAACAGAATTTCCTCAACCAATAAATATAGGAAGAGAGAGTTGCTAGGAAGGGCCAATTAGAGTCAAGAAGACAGAGACAGGAACAAAAATGGAAGTTCCCAGTCCATACATATAGGTAGAGGGTGAGCAGTAAACTATCTGTCAGGATCCACAGCAAAACAACGAAGTACATGCTTCCAAGAAGGTTTTACTTTTATTGAAAAGCTATAGATGCATTAACATGAACACTGTTAGGAATGGCGGGTTACCTATGCGCATAATAGGATATAGGGCATTCGTATGCACGTAGTACCCAATTAGATGGGTTCCCGCACGCGGGCATTTGGCAGATAACTAACGGCTGCAGAAGCTGGGAAGGTAAGAAGCTTCCCACGAATTCCAGACACACCAACTCCTCCTGTGGCCTTGAGAGATATGCGTTACAGCTAAGATACAATTAAGCGCATGGGAAGGAATGCAGAGCAATTGGAAACACACATCACACTCATGGCAGCATTGCTGACACTATCGTACCGCATAATTTTTTATTTATTTCATTTATTTATTAACTTTTTACCCCGCCCTCCCGCCGAAGCGGCGCTAATGAAGATGTTTAACAGATTCAGGGATCAAACAGGGATAAAAAGTTTAGTTTATATGGTTACCATTTGTCTGAGTTCTGTTCTGGGGGGGGAACAGTGAAGGAAATAAATACGTCAGCATTGGGGAATGCTGAGATGAATGAATTGTCTTTCTCTGTGTTCACTCTAATTGGCCCTTCCTGGCCACTAACACCCCCCCCCCCATATGTAAGGGTTGAGGAAATTCCATTTCACTATATCTGAAGAAGTGCACTTGCACACAAATGCTTATACCTTGAATAAAACTTGGTTGGTCTTAAAGGTGCCCCACTGGACTCAATTTGTTCTGCTGCTTTAGACCAACACGGCTACTCACCTGAATCTATCTACACAAAAAGGAGTATTTTCGATATAAATCAAATGCGCACAGATTCAAAATAGGACTGTTTCTTTATACAATGGCATATGTACTGCAGGAATCTATACCAGGATACACATGGGATGGAGAAAGTGGCTGCGGTGGCTAGAGAGACCGTTTTGTCCCTCTTCGTTGATGCTAGAACATGAGATCACCCAATGAAATGGAGGGGCAGTGGATTCAGGACGGAATCTGGAAAGTGCTCCTTTGCACGATGCAGAATTAACCTCTGGAACTCACCGCCACAGTACGTGGCACCAGTTTTAAAAGGAGATGATATCAATGTGTGGAGGAGGAGAGATCTATCAATGGCTAGCTAAACCTCCACCTTGGGAGGGGGTACTTCTCAATACCAGAGTCTGAGGATAATAAACAGGATGGTCTGTGGCCTTCATTTCTTACTTGTGTGCTTCCTAGGCCGATCTGGTGAGCAGTGTTCCCTCTGAGCTGAGTTAGTGTGAGCCAGCTCACAGTTTTTTAGCCTCCGGCTCACATATTTTTGTCTTCGCTCAGGAAGGAAGGCTCCAGAGCAAACTAATTTATGCAGGAGCCAAATCACTCGCTCACAACCTTAATACCAGTAGCTCACAAAGTAGAATTTTTGCTCACAGGACCCCACAGCTTAGAGGGAACATTGCGTGGTGAGGTGCAGTTAAAAGCAGGGTGCAGAAGATGCTGGTGCAAGATGCCAGACGAGATGGCCTCACCTTGGCCTGATCCAGCAGGCCTTTCCTCCAGTTCTCAGGATCAGTAATGCAGAATCGATAGGTGACATGAAGCGTGGGTTGGCACCCTGTGGGGTGTTTCTTCCTCTCCCTTCCTCCCCAAGATAGTGAGCAAAATGCTAAAGAGGGGTGCCATGAAGGGGGGGGGGATTGGGCAACATTGATTCCTCCGTGACCCACATGGCGTTTTTCCACAGGGCTCATATGGCTCCGAGCAGAGGTTTTTGGGGGAAGAGGAAGGTGGGAAAGACCCGTGGGTGCCTTCCACTAGTGCCTTGTAAGCTCGAGCCCCATGTTCTTTCGCAGGGCAGGCTTCAGAAATATTTTTTGCAGACGCAGCAGGATGACAACCTTCTGCCTTGAAACAGATTCTGAATCTGAACTAGGTGCCACTGTAAGTCAAACAGTCTCTTGTAGTACAGAAAGAACAAAAGATCCGGCTATTCTGGTTACCATGTATCATGTGTGCTTATACCCAAGGATCAGAAAAGGAGGCAGGCCTTCTCCGAAAAAGCAGGCAAGTTTCTAGCTCTCATGAGGGTTGGTGAGAAATGCTTCCATGCTCTCCTGTCTCCTCTAGAACAAAGTTTGAGTCTGGTGGCACCTTTAAGGCCTCCAGATACATTGAAACGTTTCAATGTGTCTGCAGAAGTGTGCATCCACACGAAAGCTTATACCCAGAATTAAACCCTGTAGGTCAGTGATGGCGAACCTTTTAGAGACCGAGTGCCCAAACTGCGACCCAAAACCCACTTATTGATCGCAAAGTGCCAACACGGCAATTTAACCTAAATACTGAGGTTTTTCTTTAGAAAAAATAACTCATACATTAACTTAAGATGATCCAAACAAAGTAAGGAAAGCAATCCCAAATGATTTTATTTACTTAAAATTATTTGGCAGAGAATTCCACACTTTAATGACGGTCTAGGCCTGGCTGGGGTGATGGCACGCATGCCCACAGAGAGGGCTTTGAGTGCCACCTCTGGCACCCGTGCCATAGGTTCGCCACCACTGCCGTAGGTCTTAAAGGTGCCACCGGACTCAGACTTCATTCCGTTGCTTCAGACCAACGTAGCTATCCACCTGAATCCTTTCTCCTCTCTTATCCGTCTTTGCAAAATTAGAGAAAGTAACCAATGTGGAAGAAGGCCATGTTAAATTTCCTTATTATGCTGTTTTGGTTATAGCATTTGAATTTGGGCATGTTTGGATGGGCGAGGCACAGGGTCCAGATTAGGCACCGAACTGGCTTCCTGCTCTCTTGCTGTAAAGGGCTTTTGTCCCCTTAGGTCTGGCAGATCCCAGATTACGTGCCGATGCGCAACATGACAGAGCCCATTGTCACACTGGAAGGGCATTCCAAGCGTGTGGGCATCCTTACCTGGCATCCGACGGCACGCAACATCCTACTCAGTGCAGGTAAGATCCGGTGGGAGAAAGGCAGGCCACCCGACCTACTCTGGGCGCCCCCCCCAACTCTCTTGGCCTCCTGCCGCCCCGTTTTTTCTGAAGCATCAAGGTCACCTGCAGCTTGAGACTTTGGGTTTCAGGGGTTGCCCCTTTTTGGAATATTTGCTTAGCGCAAATCTGTCCATTCCTGGAGCAGAGGTGAATCCCGGGATTAAATCCTTTGAAAATGCTGGTTGGATTAGAATGCAAAGGTCATGGATAAATCTTGGCGCCCACTGACAGCACTTAAGGCATACAGCTCTTCCGTGCGTTTACAAGCCACGCCGGTCAGTAACAGGCCAGTGCAGATAAACCCACCACCATCCAGAGCAATGTTTCCTCTAAACTGTGGAGTCCTGTGAGCAGAAATTCTACTTTGTGGGCTACTGGCATTAAAGTTGTGAGCAGGTAGTTTGGCTGCTGCATAAATTAGTTTGCTCTGGAGCCATCTTTCCTGAGCTAAGACAAAAATGTGTGAGCTGGAGGCTAAAAAACTGTGAGCTAGCTCACACTAACTCAGCTTAGAGGAAACACTGGTCCAGAGTCCTGGTCTACCACAAGCACAAAGCAGGAACTAAAAGGGCATCTGGCTGGAAAAAAAGTGAGATCCTGCTGTGTATATATAAAAAAATCCCCTGTATATAGCCGGCTATTAAGGACTTGGCGCTGGGACTTAAGAGAACACATTCTGGAAATCAGTTCAGCCATTTCAAGGTCAGAAGAGCTGAGGCCGAGAATCTCTCCTCCAAAAGAGAATCAGTTAATCCGTAGTGGAGCTGATCTCTCAGGAAAGTGAGCCAACCTGCACAACAACTGTTGGATCTGCTGCAGAACATTCAAAACCCACGTGAAGCACATAATCACTCACGGAAGCTCATAAAAACCCAGGCGGGCATTCCTTCACACCCCTCCACACACGTCCTTCTCCTTGCCATTGACTCTTTGTCTGACTTGGTCTGCTGGCTGCTCCCCCTTCAGGCTTCCAGGCCTAAGGTTTGTGTATGGCCAGAGGCACAAGGCAAAAGGCCAGAGCCAAAGGGCTCACAGCTTGTGGCCTTGGAGAAGAGATAGAAGAGAGGCCCAGGTGATAGCTGGCTATTTTTGCTTTGTTTAAATTCTCTTTTCTCTGTTGTATTTCTGGCACTTGGTATTTGGGGGAGGGTGACGATGGCGTTGGAGCAGGCAGGCTGCCTATGCTCCTTCCACCCCATTGACAAAGAAACATAGAGCTGAAGGGACCTCAAGGGTCATCTAGTCCATCCCCCTGAGCAGTGCAGGAAATACACAACTATCTCTCCTCCAGTGACCCCTGGTTGATGCCCAGAGGAAGGCGAAAAACCCTCCAGGATCCCTGGGCCAATCTGGCCTGTAGGAATCTGGTTGCTTCCTGACCCCAAGGTGGCGATTGGCATTATCCTGGGCATATAAGAAAGGACCACAGAAATTGAGTGCTGGCCCTTCCTGCCCTCCCTCTCATGATCTGCCTAAGTTCACAGAGTCAGCATGGCTGTCAGATGGCCATCTAGCCTCTGTTTGAAAGCCTCCAAAGAAGAAGCCCGCCACCACCTGAGGAAGCCTATTCCACATGTACATGCAGTAGTGTATAGTACCGTTACCATACAGTGCTGCGTACTGATAACACAACGTCTTTAAAAGGACAGAACTAAATGCTTGGTTTAAATTCCTGTGCAAAAGAATTTGTTACAGAAGCGAAGGTTACCAGCAAGTTTTTCAAGAACGAGTCGTTCATAGGTGCAGTTTTGGTTCATACATTCCCTTTTTCCAGATAAGGAGAAGGGCCATAGCTTAGTCTAGAGCACATGCTTTCCATACATAAGGTTCCCAAATTCTGGTGCTGGCACCTCCAGGCTGTGCAGGGAACCATCTGTGGGTAAGACCCGCTGGCTCACTGCTGTTCAGGGGAGACAACGCCTGGTGGGTCACATTTAGGGTTGCCAGCATTCAGGTGGGCAACAAACACAGGGCAAGGCTGAGCAAACGTGGGAAAACACCGTGTTAAAACAAAACAAACCATTCTGATATGCTACTATGTCTTCATATATTTGTTTAAATCATATACTTAAATATACAATAAAGACCCTAGTGCTGGGGTGTCAAACATGCGGCCCAGGGGGCTGCATCAGGCCCCCGGAGGGCTTCTGTCAGGCCCGCAGTGGAACTGGCTGTCTTCTGCTTCTTCTTCCAGTTCTGCTGCTGCTGCGTCATCGTAGGTTTGCAGCTTACAGGTACACACCTGAACAGCATACTCAAGATTGCAACAGCACAGACATTTTGATGCAGCCATTTAGAGCAAGAGGTGTCAGTTATCAGACACTGTTAAATAAACAAAATATTGCAAGAGTGCTGATGTTTTAAGCATGTTGTTATTTTAAGTTAAAAAAAACACCTTTGTGTTTGTGTCCTTTATAAAGTTTACATCTCTGCTACCTGGCATTACCTTTTATGACACACCTGGCCTGGCCCAACAAGGTCTCATTTATGTCAGATCCAGTCCTCGTAACAAATGAGTTCGACACCCCTGCCCTAGTGTATCTTATTAATTATAGTACATAGATAACAAAAACCTAAAGAACAATATATCTTGTAGAGAAGTCCACAGCTACAGAGACAAATCTACAGACAGGATTCAATGCTGTTGAACTGGGGGGGGACCTGAACGCCAAGTGGTAAATTCGCCGGTTGGAGTACAGGCACACAGGGCACTTCTGCATGGCATCATCCTGTTGGGGATGTCGGCGCCCCTCTCCAGAAATCCCCCCCCCCAAAGTCCCCCATGGCAATCCCAGAGGAGAATGATATATAAGCCGCTCTAGGTTCTCATTGGGGAGGGCTCTTTCTGTAGCAGGGACACCTTTGCATATTAGGCGACACTCCCCCTAATCTAGTCAATCCTCCAAGAGCTTACAGAGCTCTTCTTACAGGAGCTACTGTAAGCTCTTGGAGGATTGGCTGCATTAGGGGTGTGTCGCCTAATATGCAAAGAAGTCCCTGCTACACAAAGAGCAAGCGAATGAAATAAATGAATGAAATCAGTAGCAGGTCAGATTCCAGTTTAAAATCTGAGAGAGAGAGAGAGAGAGAGAGAGAGAGAGAGAGAGAGCGCTTATCTGCCGGATAGCACAAAAGCAAGGTCAGAACTGGGTGCTTTGAATAGTCCCGTTGTGGGCTCTCGCTTTCCTCCACCACCCTCTCTTTCTGGGTGAGGAGCTATTGTGGGTTGAGCAGCCACTGCGGGAGGCGCAGAAAAGCCTCTGCCAAAAGTAAAAGTAAAAGGAGGGGGATGTAGACCCCTTGAAGGCACGGGGAGCAAATTGGTTTGCTCTAAGGGCCTGAATGGTTAAAAAAAGGGCCTCTTTTTCCAGTTCCCTCCATTACGTGTGTGGGGTGGAAGCTCCTTTGGGCAACTAACTCTAAGAGAAAATAGTGAACCTTACTGTGGAAAACTGCCCAGTGGGCTGCCCTAAACCCCTGCCCCACAGTGCGAAATGGTGGAGCCCATTGTAGCCCTGCATTCTGCACTGTTTGTGAACTGGGCCTCAGTAGGTTTCACAGCATTGGCTCACATTCATCCCTTCCTTCTGTTGCAAGCTGCTTAGGGCAGGGCTGCCTTTTCCCTTTGCATCTTCATGTGGTTGTGGTCTAAAGCTACCACATGACCCATCAGCCTCCTGGTTACAGTGCTATGTTTCATAGGCTTACCAAGTACTTACCTTGAATCAGAGGGGAACACATATGTCTTGTCAGGAACATTCCCTCAGTGGAACACATCCCCGCCGCACCATGCTGTCGCCCAGATGTGACGCCAGCACACTGGGCACGTAGCTGGGCGATGCTCTGCCAATGGAGCTGGAAACTCGATGGTACCATTGAGTTTCCAGCTCCATTGCCAGAGCGTCACCCAGCTTCGTGCCTAGCGTGCTGGCGTCACGTCTGGGCGACGGCATGGTACAGCGGGGATGTGTTTCACCGAGGGAATCTTCTGGCCGGGAACCATCTGTCCCCCGCCGATTCGAAGGTAGGTACTTGGTAACCCTAATGTTTCACCATGGAATCCTTCCTCTCCTCTCCACTTCTCTCCTCTATTTCTTTCCACCTCTTTCCTTCCTTCCTTCCTTCCTTCCTTCCTTCCTTCCTTCCTTCCTTCCTTCCTTCCTTCCTTCCCAGCCCAATGACCCAGCAGTCTGCAACAGGACCAGTCTTACAAATACCATTCTCTGTTTCCATCCCCTGATAGAAGCCAGAGCTGCAAGAAATTTAGCCACCGCTAAAGTACTACCAGGATCTCAGGATCAGCTTGCACAGAAACAAGGGAAGCCTTGGAAGCTATTGCTGGCTGTATCCACAGATCCTCTCCAAGGGGCCGTCAGCACACAATCAAAGAAAACATGGGATAACATTTCCCTTGCCCCAGACCCACGTGCACATAATATATCTGAGTAGGGCACTCCTTGGAATCTGCCCAACCAAACAGCATAGAGGAAAGTGTTTAGCCTGCGGCCATAAAGGGAAGCCTTCCAATACTTGGGGAAAGTCAGTTGATGGAAATAAGTCAGAAAGGTTAGAGGGGGTGCAATACCTGCCACGTTCCAGTTTCCCTGTAGTGCAGTGTGGCCTTGGGGGGGAAAGGAGGCTTGCGAGAGGAGGACAGTGCAGCCGTTTGCATGAAAAGGAGGGCCTGCTGGCTGCTGACTGGTTTGGTCCTTTCCCGAGTTCCGCTTCCTTATTCCAGGGGGAGACAGCGTGATCATCCTCTGGAACGTGGGCACGGGGGAGGCCCTCCTGACATTGGATGACCTGCACACTGACCTCATCTACAACGTCTGTTGGAATCGCAGTGGCAGCCTCTTCGTCACCACCTGCAAGGACAAACACTTGCGCATCATAGACCCTCGGCAGCACCTCGTGGTGGCCGTGAGTCGTGGCTGCACGTGGGCTGGTCCAGCATGCGTGGGCAGGTTCCGCCGCTTGCTGCTTGCTTGATTCCACCTCCAGGAGCCTCCTTACCCGAAGGCTAATTCCTAGGGATGCATGCCAGGGCTCGGAACCGCAGGGACACCCTGCCCCCAAACATGTGAGATCTAATAGTCGACTATTCACTGCCAGCAGCTTTGGGGAGCACCCTGTGGATGCTCCAGTGTACCTCTCTGTTTTAGGATTGTTGATTTTTAAAAAATTCAGCGTTATCATTGGTATTATCCAGTTATTTCAGCATTTAGGCAATGTTAGGTACTTTCTAAAGAATATTTCTTCTTGTGGAGGTAGATCAAGATATGTAGCCGTGTCAGTCTGTCTGTAGGAGTAGAAGAGAGAAAGAGTCCAGGAGCACCTTAAAGACTAACAGAATTTGTGGCAGGGGAGGAGCTTTTGTGAGTCGCTGCTCACTTCTTCAGATGCCTCTTCACAAGGCTGATGGATTTCCATTCTGTACGGCTAAATGTGGTGCCTTCCATGGAGACAGATCAAGGCCCTGGTCACACGGACAGGAAAATGCAGGGGGGGGGTGGCTGTTTGCCCCGGAGCAAAATAACGCACAGCTGCGCGATCAGACGTCCCGTTGAGGTCCCGTGGGTAGGGGGGAGGTGCCAATCACAGGACAATCCTACAAAGAAGCGGCCTCCCTAGCAAAAGGCTCTGGGTTTAACCCCTTCCAGGGCTGCAGAGGAATGCAACGTGTCCTCCGTCCGGTCCCCTCCAGGAGGAGCTTCAGCCGGGCCACCCTCCCGCCACGCCCCCCCCCCGCACCTCCCCCTCTGCCGCCCGGTGCAGAGTTCCTCTCGAGCAGGCAGAGCCAGGAGTGGGGGGGGGGTACGGAAAAGAGGAGGGGGCTGTGCTGTTTGTTTTTAAACAAAGTGTGCGCATGCGCTGTTGGGTGCTTGTGCGCATCCCGTGGAGACTTGAAAAAAAACAAACCTTTTAGCGACGGGACATGGGCGGGCACCGGATGCCACGACCTAACACCAAAAACGCGATCAGGCGCCCGCCCTTGCCCCGTGGTTTCCAGAAACTAGTACCTCGGAGGTACTAGTTTTTTACCCCGCATCTTCGGCGGGAAGCCTCGGGTTCGCCATGGGAGCTCTATGCTTCCCAGATGTGGCGCTGTGATCGCGCCCGGAAAATCCGCCTATCTTCCGTCTCTGTAGCGTGGCTAATGCTCCATGTGACCACAGCCCAAGACGGGCAGCCGTGTTAGTCTGTCTGTAGCAGTAGAAAAGAGCAAGAGTACAGGAGCACCTTAAAGACTAATAGAATTTGTGGCAGGGGAGGAGCTTTCGTGAGTCACGGTTCAGTTCTGCTCATTCTAGCTGTATCTGAAGAAGTGAGCAGTGGCTCACAAAAGCTCCATTCCCCCCTAACACAAAAGCTCCTCCCCTGCCACAAATTCTGTTAGTCTTTAAGGTGCTTCTGGGCTCTTGCTCTTTTTTATGTCTTCCTGTGTTTTGGCCTTGCATGATGTTGTGTCCGCTGACCGCCACCAGAGGTCAGCGCACACTCCTGAGCTTCAGTCCGGTACAACAATGGGGACTAGGATTCTAGTCCCTCCACTGGGGGAACCAATGGGACCTTGGCGGGAGATTCAAACCCACCAATGGGACCCAGGGGATGCCCCTGGATTGTGTATATAGTTGGCCTGCCGGCCGTTAGTTTTTAGTCTTGTTGTGTACCAGTAAAGCTATGCTGATCACTACATCAGTCTCCATGCTTCCTTTATGCGTCTAACCCACTACACTTCACATTCGGAGCAAGGTCTCAGGGTACGGCCCAAGGGTGCTCCATCTGGCAACCCTGCAGAGCATATGGATGGGGAAACTTCCTGAGCTGCAGCCTTGAGCTCTGTGTTGGAAGAAATGCAGCAAAGGAAATAGACCAATTGGGGTCTAGGAGGCTTGCTTTAGCCCCCCCCCTTGTGACTAAAGGATGGCAGCGAATCAGAGTTGAAGGGCGAGAGTCTTTCACAGCTGAAGGCTGGCATGTCCACGTTCCAAAGCCCTGCTGCCCTCTTGCCCCTTCACTAACCTCAGCTGCTTTTTCCTCTTTCCGAAAGGGCTGCTTGGCAGATCAGGGCTCTTTGGGCCAAACCACTGGAGGATCCAGTTCAGATCCCCGCCCACATAAGGCTCTTTTTCCTGAGCTCAGGTTACTCCCCTGAGCTGGTATTTCCTCCAGGAGGGGAACCGTAGAAGCCTCATGCAGGCAACCTCCACTGCCGCTTTCCTCTTGGTGGGGAATTTACAATCTCGGGAGATGTTGAGTCAGGAAAATGGCACAGGGGAGAAAGAGGGAGCCCACCTTCTCTTGTCGGGATGCTAGTCCGTCCGACCCTCTAGTGGTTGCTGTTTTTGCCAGAAACAAAACATGCACATGGAGATCCAGTTACAGATTTTCTCACATCTTGCTTGGGACTTCGGGTATTTAGAACTGGAGAGGGGATGCGTCCCCAGTGTCTTCTATTCCCTGGGATGCCAAGATTCCATGTCCCGCAAGTGTGCAGCCCTTGAAGCAACACCGCAGATTTCCGCACACGTTTGGGGATGTTGACTTGGGTTACGTGCGGGTCACGTGAATTAAGATTAAACTAATAATCAAAAGGAGCTGAAGTAAAGAACCCCAGTTTTGCAGACGGAAGCAGATGTGAGCCTCCATTTTAACAAAAAAAACACGTCCCCCAGGTTGCAAAGTTGTTTTTCCTTAAACTGCCTACATGGTGTGCCTTCATTCTGAAAACACTCAGCGGGCACCAGAAGAGGTGTTGGCAGGACTCGTGGCGTTCATGGGCACCATATTGGGGGGTAAAAGGTAAAGGTTTCCCTTGCTCGAAAGCCAGTCGAATCTGACTCTAGGGTTGCGGTGCTCATCTCCATTTCCAAGCCGAAGAGCCAGCGCTGTCCGAAGACGTTTCCATGGTCATGTGGCTGGCATGACTAGATGCCGAGGCGCAAGGAACGCTGTTACCTTCCCACCGAAGCAGTACCTATTTATCTACTTGCAATTTCTTGCTTTCGAACTGCTAGGTTGGCAGGAGCTGGGGCCAGAGATGGGAGCTCACTACGTCATGCGGCACTCGGGTCTCGAACTGCTGAACTACCGACCTTCCGATCTGCAGTTCAGCGTCTTAACTACTTGAGCCACCGCAGCCCTCCTCTAATCGCTAGTGGAGCATTCACACAGAGGTTTCTTCTGCACTTGGATTCTGCCACCAAAAGCCTTTCGTGGGTGGGTGGGCCTTTTAAAGAAAATCATTAATTGGCATCGCCTCCTTAGAGGCCCTCATGAGGGCAGAAAGGAGAAAGGCAGGGTCTAATTTTGTAAAATAAAAATAATATTGCTGTTGTAGTAGAAAAGAGCGAGAGTCCAGCAGTACCTTAAAGACTAACAAAATATGTGACGGGGAGGAGCTTTTGTGAGTCACTGTTCACTTCATCAGATACAGCTAGAATGAGCAGAAGTGAGCAGTGACTCACAAAACACATATTTTGTCAGTCTTGGAAGTGCTCCTGGACTCTTGCACTTTTCTCCTGCTACAGACAGACTAATACGGCTGCCCATCTTGATCTATTTCGGTGTATTAAATTACAGTGATACGCAATGCTCCCTCTAAGCTGGGGAGCCTTGTGAGCAAAAATTCTGCTTTGTGAGTTTCTGGCATTAAAGTTGTGAGTGAGCAATTTGGCGACCGCAGTAAATTAGTTTGCTCTGGAGCCATCCCTTCCCGAGCCAAGACAAAAACGTGGGAGCCGGAGGCTAAAATGTTTTGAGCTAGCTCATACTAACTCAGCTTAGAGGGAACACTGGTGATATGTCAGTTGCTGACTTTAAGGTGTAGCAATAGATCTAGTACTTTTGGTGATTGACATATTGCTGTAGTTTAAAATCGGTAACATGTTGCTGTAATTAATGTGTTATGTTTTAGGATATGGTTAGAGTATGTTTTTTATTTTTTAAAAGGCTAGAAAAAGCCCTCCAGTGGTGGGGTGGGGGGTGGCTGCGGTGGGCTGTGGGCAAAGAAAAGGGTGTGGGGAGGGGACCTGCAAAAAGGGGTGTTTTCCTGTCCACACAGCCGGTTGATGTGTGTTGATTTCCACAAAAGCTTGTATGAAATCAGGTTTGGGAAAGACTGGACCCAAGCAGGGAACCTCTGGATAGAGAACAATTAGGGGCCAAAGTTGTGTAAACACTAAAAAAAAACCCCAAGCTCTGCTTCAGTCCAGAGCAAAACCTCATGTAGAAACAGCCTAAAAGGCACTTTCACATCTCCTGAGTAATGCACTTTCAACCCACTTTGAATGCACTTTAGAGATGGTTGGCAGGTAGATTTTTCCATTTCATGCAGTAAAACTAAGTTGTAAAGTGCATTGGAAGTGAATTGAAATTGCACTATTCAGCGTGTGTGAAAGTGCCAAAAGTCTCTCACCTTTTTTTTTTTTGAACTACCACAATCTTAGATTCAGTTAGTTTTTGAGGAAGCTGGATCCTGGAGACGCAAGGTCTCAATTTTGGAATCCTCTGCTAGCTTCCTTTCTGGTGGCTTTAAGGAACATCAGGTGGATCTTTGGCCCACTGGGCGAGCATTCTTGTAGCGGTGGGTGCAAGCACCCCAAAATGTCGGCTGGTGTTTGTCCTGAAATTAAATGAAAGCCACCTTGAGCAACAAGGGAAGGCGGGATATAAATATTTTAGCAAACAAACATGTAAAACAAAGTCATCCTTTGTGTTTGTGTGGAGTGTATAGGTGTAAAATTCCCAGGCACATGAAATGCACCAAAACAAATGGGCCCAAAATTAAACTTGTTTCTGTCTCTTGAGCTCAGAAATAATTGTCCCCCTAGAGATTTGTATGTGGACAAAAAATTTCTAGTGTGTACGGACAAACCTTCCACACTCATAGTACTTTGTGTTTGACTGTCTTGTGCACAAAGAAAAATGCATGCGAGTGTTCTTTGTGACAAGCCCTCAGGGCACATTTGCGCACAGTGTTGTGGGTGGGCCAGATGTGTCTCGTCTCTTCCCAGACCCACCTCTCTCCTTCCACCTTCAGAGCGTTAGTGTGGTCTCACGTGACTGACCTGTACTAATAGTGGCCTGTGTGTTTCTGTTTGGTCCTAACCCACTAACCGCTGGCCACCGCTTCCAGGAGAAATTCAAGCCACACGACGGCGCTCGCCCCGTCCGGGCCATCTTCATGGCCGATGGCAAAATCTTCACAACCGGCTTCAGCAAGATGAGTGAGCGGCAACTGGCACTTTGGGACTTGGTATGGCTTAGGGTCTTCCGGTGCGAGGTTGTTGAGTGTGCGCTGCATGCAGAGGCAGTGTGAGATGTGCTTATGTGACGTGTGAGCTTTCCCGGCCTTTGTGCCCACAGGAGGAGGAGTGGCAGAGAGTGAGGATGAGCATGCCCAGACAACAGAGCTGAGAACCCATATCCCTGAATCCAGTGAACAGTGCTGAGCCACCGCCCCTGTTATGGTGGGCGACACTGTCATGCCAAGCTAAAGCACTTTGCCAGCAAGAGAGGACAACCTGTGTGCAATCTTTCTCAGCCACACGTGCCTGTGTGATGGATAAATGAAAGAGCCAACGTTTTGTCCATTTGTGGGTGTTCCCTTGCCTGGTTATCTGGAAGCAATTTCTGCTCACCCCAGGAGATCAAGTGAACATACCTCGGCTAACCCTTGTAACTCTGTCTTGAATCACAATTAACGTAAAGATAAGTAGGAAGGGCTTCAAATTCCCAGTTTTTATGCGAGTTTGGCCGTATTATGAGTTCCGTTTGCCCATGGCTCTGAGCCAGAGTTTGTGTCATGAACTTTCAAAGGAAATGCTGGCTGAATAGGTCACCCTGTGTGGAGAGGCAAACAGGCGTCTGCACTCTGTAGGAAAGCAAACAATGCCATACGGGGGTGATCTCAGTTTTGTCATCTGGGATGCACCTCTAAGAAAGCCACCATGGCGGAACTCCTGCGGAGAGGGATGCTTTCTCCTCTAAAAACTGGATCGTGTGCCTTCACCTGCCTGGCTGCTACCCAAGAGGTGACTCCTGCCCCCTCTGCTCCTCTCCTCTCTCCCTTCCCTGCCTTCTCTACGTACTTAACTCTTTCTTTCCCCCACCCACCCAGGAGAGGTTTGCTCCTCACGAAGGGATGAGGCCCATGCGGGCCGTCTTCACCCGCGACGGACTTGTCTTCACCACGGGCTTCACGCGCATGAGCCAGCGGGAGCTGGGCTTGTGGGATCCGGTAGCCAGGCTGCATGGAGTGACGTGCCCCCCTCTCCCCCCCCCGACCGGCATTCTCTCTCCCTGGGAACTCGGGCATCCTCCCGAGTTTGGTGTAGTGGTTAAGTGTGCGGACTCTAATCTGGGAGAACCGGGTTTGATTCCCCACTCCTCCACTTGCACCTGCTGGTGTGACCTTGGGTCAGTCACAAGCTCTGGCACAGCTGTCCTTGAAAAAGAGCAGTTTGTGTCAGAGCTCTCTCAGCCCCACCCACCTCACAGGGTGTCTGTTGTGGGGAAGGGGAGGGGAAAGAAGTTTGTAAGCCGCTCTGAGACTCCAAGTGAAGGGTGGGGTATAAATCCAATCTCCTCTCCTCCTCCTCCTCCCTGGGCAGGTGCCAAAGCAGTACGATCAGGTACTTCAGGCGGGCGTAAGTCCTGCACCAAAGCACACGAGGGCAGACATAGATGTTCTCGCACAGAGATCCCAGGCCGCTGGGCTGGGGGAGGGAAGGTGGGCACACACGGCTACGGTGGGACACCCCCCCGAGCCGGAAAGAAGGTGCCTTTTGTCATGAGACTGAAATATGAACCCTGTGAATCCACTGTGCTGCTGAAGACCTGATGCTGTGTAGCTGGCACGTGCCCATGGAGAGACTGGCAAGGGAAGAGGGCAATAGTCGTCTCACCCCAGCCCTTCATGGGCCAGTTCTCTCAGCTGAGAAGGTGAAACTTGGGCAAGGGGAGAAGGGGAGAGACCCCCCCCCCGGATTGAAATTCTTACACTCTTTCTCATGAGAAGGCCAACAGACTTCAAGTTCCCTGACATCGTGGTGGTTCGGGATGCCAGCCTCCAGGTGGGAACTGGGGATCCCGCTGTGTTACGGCTCATCTCCAGACTGCAGAGACTAATTCCTCTGGAGCAAATCGATGCTTTTAAGGGGGGACTCTGTGGCATTGTAGCCCATCGAGGTCCCCGTTCTCAGGCACCACCCACAAATATCCAGATGTTTCCCAGCCTGGACCTGGCAACCCTAAACCCCACCCCCTGCCACTGGCCAGGTCTGTCTGAGCAGGAGGTCCGAGAGCATCGGGACTTCATGTCCCATCATGCATTGCGGCAAGTGCTACTTACTGTATTCTGCTTAACATAAGGATTGCTGGTTTCTGATCACCCCTTGTCCAGATGATGCTGAGTTCCCAGGGTCCTGGAATGCTGTGGATTTGCATTGAGGGGTTTGGGGTTTTTTTTGGAGGGGGATTAGTAGTGCATGCTGGGAGTGCTGTGACCCTGGGGGTGCTAGGCATCGAGATGGGGAGATCTTGGGGGGGCCCCATCCAGTGAATCAAGAGCAAGAGATTGAGCAGGAAAGAGGTGAACAGATGGCCCATTTTCCCCAAGAGTCCTTTTAAGGGGAGGTTCTATTCCTTGCCCTGTCCTTCCATTCCGTCCCTAGTCACACCGTGGCCACACACCAGGCGCAGTGGGTGCCACCCATCCAAAGGAGGTACGTGCTGTAGAACGCCTAAGCGTCATGCCACAGCTGAGTTGTCCATTTGGCCTGTGCTCAAAGCCTCTCTTGTCGTTGCTTCACCCTGGTCATACTTTGGGGAGCCCAGGAGCCAAAGCACAAAAATCAGAGCAAGGTGACCAAGAAGGCAGGAGGTTTTAAGCTCAAGAAAAGCGTGTGAGCGTGTGTCTTCAGAGGCATCTGGCTACTGGGTTAGAGTAGACGGGTTTGGGGTGCATTCCATTCCCTGGTGATAGTGATATAGAGATGGTGTAGCTAGCGCGGGAGAGCTGAGCCTTCCTTGCTCAACACGGGGCTCGTTGGCTACGGGAGCCCTCGGGCTGAGAGGACGCAGTCTTGGAATGGTTGGCAGGAGGGCAATGGGGCATGTGATTGCGGTGCCCCTGCCGGTACCAGGCTGGTTTTGCGATCTGTGCCCTGACCCCTTCCTTCCCTTTCTCTGCAGAAGAACATGGAGGAACCCATCGCCCTCCAGGAAATGGACACCAGCAATGGGGTTCTCCTGCCCTTCTACGACCCCGATTCCAGCATAGTCTATCTGTGTGGCAAGGTAAAGGAGAGGGGATCGCGATGTGGGGAGGAGGACAGCTGGCTGGATGTGCAGAGAGGCCGGCCCAGCTCTCCGCTTCAGAACTCTTCTAGGGTGGCGGCTTTGGCAACAGGGTTGCCAACCTCCAGGTGGCACCCGGAGTTCCTCCGCTATTACAGTCGATCTCCAGACGGCCAAGATCAGTTCTCCTGGAAAAAATGGCTACTTTGGAGGGTGGACTCTATGGCATTATGTCCTGCTGAGGTCTCTCCTTTCCCCAAACCCTCTCCTCGCTAGGCTCCGCCCCCAAAATCTTGTGGTATTTCCCAACCCAGAGGTGGCAACCCTGGTAAACAGTGTGGACCCCTTTTGTAAAAATTTTGTGCATAGATGCCAGGAAATGGCGACAAGGTCTAGGAGAGTGTTACACACATGAGATCAACTGTTAAATCCTGCTACAATCCAAGATGGGAACTTGTTGGGTTTTGAAAAATAAAACTTGGTTTTCAGCAGAGATAAAATAGCTTAGCAGTGCCAGAGTAAAATAATTCAGACCCAGAGTCCATGTGTGTTTAAAATAGAAAGTTTTTACTACATTCTAGCATGGGGAAGGGTAACTGGGATGAAAATAACAACAGAGCTAAGTTCCCTACATCTTTACATTACAAAGACAAGACTAGAAAGAGAGCTATGGCTTCACTTTCTTTCTGCTTCAGAACTCCAGACAAAGACGGGAAGAGGAGCCATAAAATGCTAAAATACTTCGACACTTTGCTTCCAATGAAACTCCTAGATCAGGGATGATTTTCCCGGGCTTGTAGTTCTAAACTAACATTGGCTACATAAGAAACATGTGACTTCCTGTGACAACACAAACAAACATTTAACCCCAGATACACTGAAGTGTTTTCAGCTTGTAACACCCAACAGAACTTGATCCGAATTTCTCCTTAGCAGTTGTATGCTCCTCCAGCACTGGCACAAAATGTATGAACTGGTGATTTCCTTGGCATTAGGGGTGTGTGACTGAGATTGCATTGTCTCCTCTGTCTGGAGTTTTGATTCTAAAATGCTTCTGGAGTGTAAAGTTATTCTGATTAATCAGGCTGCTTGGAGCGCTTCAGATTCAGGAAAAGAAACACCTGCGTTTTGCTGAGTTCTCGTTAGGGAAACTGATCTAAGCAGTAGGAGGTGAGGTTCTCAGTTCCTTATTTACCCTTCCCAGTCCCTTATTTGAGCATCGAACCACAAATATTGATGATAGCACTTTTTTTTTTTTAAGTGTTTCTCCTTTGTTCAGACAGAGGTGTTTTCATGGCATAAGATCCAGGGAAAGTAATTTTTCACCACTGACTTTTCCCAGTGTTTGGACCAGGTGGCAGTGCATGTTACCTGGGAGGGGGTGATCTTGAGAGTCCAGGATGTCTGATTCGGGGTGGTCCACAGCTCACTGTGAGGTGCAGAGAGCATGCAGCTGCCCCAGTTCTTTATTCGGGGCACTTTCCCCATGTAATCATAGAATCACAGAATCATAGAGTTGAAGGGACCTCCAGAATCATCCAGTCCAACCCCCTGCACAGTGCAAGAAATTCACAAATACCTCCCCCCACACACACAAGCCCCCAGTGATCCCTGTTCCACACCCAGAAGATGACCAAAAAAAACCCCTCCAATATCACTGGCCAAACTGGCCTGGAGAAAAATGGCTTCCTGACCCCAAAGTGGCGATTGGCATTTCCCTGGGCATGTAAGAAAGAAGAAAAAGAAGAAGAAGAGATTGGATTTATATACCCCGCCCTTCACTACCCAAAGGTGTCTCAGAGCGGCTTACAAACTCCTCTCCCTCCCCACAACAGACACCCTGTGAGGTGGGTGGGGCTGAGAAAGCTCTTGAAGGACAGCTCTTATCAGAGCTAGGGCCTGCCCAAGGTCATCCAGCCAGGTGCAAGTGGAGGAGTGGGGAATCAAACCCGGTTCTCCCAGATTAGAGTCCGCGCACTTAACCACTACACCAAACTGGCTCTGGCCACGAGAACTAAGCACTGGTGCAACCCTTCCTGCCCTCCCTCTTGTGATCTGCCTCAGTTCACAGAATCATCCTTGCTGTCAGATGGCCATCCAGCCTCTGTTCAAAAACCTCCAAAAGAATTGCTCTAACTGTCAGGAAGTTCTTCCTAATGTTTAGCCGAAAACTCTTTTGATTTAATTTCAACCCGTTGGTTCTAGTCTGACCTTCTGGGGCAACAGAAAACAACTCCGCACCATCCTCTACATGACAGCCCTTCATGTACTTAAAGATGGTTATCATAACACCTCTCAGTCGTCGCCTCTCCAGGCTAAACATACCCAGCTCCTTCAGCCTTTCCTCATAGGACTTGGTCTCCCGACCCCTCACCATCTTCATTGCCTTCCACTAGACACATTGCATCTTGTCTATATCCTTCTTAAATTGTGGTGCCCAAAGCTGAACACCATACTTTAGGTGTGTTCAGTCTCCCCCATCCTATAATTGTGTATAGAGCAGTGGTGGGCGAACCTATGGCACGGGTGCCAGAGGTGGCACTCAGAGCCTTCTCTGTGGGTACACGTGCCATCGTCCCAGCCAGGCCCAGACCATCATTAAAGTGTCGAACTCTCTGCCAAATAATGTTAAGTAAATGAAAGCATTTGGGATTGCTTTCCTTACTTTGTTTGGATCATCTTAAGTTAATGTATGAGTTGTTTTTTCTAAAGTAAAACCTCAGGATTCAGGTTAAATGGCCGTGTTGGCACTTTGCGATCAATAAGTGGGTTTTGGGTCTCAGTTTGGGCACTTGGTCTCTAAAAGGTTCGTCATCACTGGTATAGAGGCTTCATTAGAAGCTCTTGATGACAGAACCAGTGTTGGGACTGGGCCATGTCCTCTGGAAGAAGAAGAAGAAGAGAAGATATTGGATTTATACCCCACCCTTCACTTGGAGTCTCAGAGCGGCTTACAAACTCCTTTCCCTTCCCTTCCCCACAACAGACACCCTGTGAGGTGGGTGGGGCTGAGAGAACTCTGACACAAACTGCTCTTTTTCAAGGACAGCTGTGCCAGAGCTTGTGACTGACCCAAGGTCACACCAGCAGGTGCAAGTGGAAGAGTGGGGAATCAAACCCGGTTGTCCCAGATTAGAGTCCGCGCACTTAACCACTACACCAAACTGGCTCTCTTGCAGGGCACAGTCCCCAGAACGTTGGGGGGTGTATGATTTGTGGTGGTACAAAGCTTATTTTCGGAGGGAGGGTGGCATGGTATAGCCTGATCTCATCAGATCTCTGAAGCTAAGTAGAATCGGTACTTGGATGGGAGACCACCACGGAAGACTCTGCAGAGGAAGGCGATGGACAGCCACCTCTGCATCTCACTTCCCTTGAAAGCCCCTTGCTGGGGTCACCATAAGTCAGTTCCTGGCTAAGGATCCAATCGGATCAAGCTCCCCTCTTGGATTGTAGCAGATTTCAAAAACCAACTGGTGCATAAAGGTTTCCTAGACCGAATGGCCATTTCCCAGCATTCTGTGTACAGCCATTTCCTGGCAGCCTATGGCAGTCGATCCACTCAAAGCAGAGGAAATCCAGAGGATGCAGGAAACTGCCGTGGCTGCAGCTCACAGGAGACACGGGGAAGGAAGCTTGGTTTTAAGTGCAGGGCTTTTAAAGTAGCATCAACACTCGTAATTGGATTCACCAGTAAACATCTGGTGGTGGAAAGTGCCGCCGACCCGTGGCGACCCTGTTGGGTTTCCAAGGCAAGGGATAAAGGTGGCCTGCCGTAGCCTGCCTCTGCGTCACAACCCGGGACTTCCTCGGTGGTCTCCCATCCAAGGACTAACCAGGGCTGACCCTCCTTCTCTTCCGAGAGGCCACACGATCAGACTAGCCCGGGCTATCCGGGTCAGGATCGTTTATATTTTGCGGGTGGAAAGTGCCACCAAGTAGCGGCTGAACTTATGGCAACCCCGGAGGGTTTCCAAGGCAAGAGATGAACAGAGGTGGTCTGCCGTTGCCCGGTTCTGCCTAGCGGCCCTGGACTTCCTTGGTGGTCTCCCATCCGAGTACGAGCCAGGGCTGACCCTGCTTAGCTTCCGGGATCTCTCTCTCTCTCTTTTTTTTGGTAAACTTATTATTGCTTTTTGACTAGAAACTACATAGGGAAGGGACATAGGGGATACTAATACTAAAGAAGAAGAAGGAGATGGAGGAGGAGGAGATGGAGGAGGAGATTGGATTTATACCCTGCCCTTCACTACCCAAAGGAGTCTCAGACTGGTTTACAAACTCCTTTCCCTTCCCCTCCCCACAACAGAAACCCCGTGAGGTAGGTGGGGCTGAGAGAGCTCTGACAGGAACAGCTCTTTTTCAAGGACAGCTCTGACAGAACTATGGCTTGCCCAAGGTCATCCAGCAGGTGCAAGTGGAGGAGTGGGAAATCGAACCCCATTCTCCCAGATTAGAGTCCGCGCACTTAACCACTACACCAAAACAAGAGATATAGCCAGGATCATGTTACATGTAGGTTACCGATTGGTCATTCCTACTATTATTAAAATAAAGTATATATAATAGAGCAATACTGAGTATTACTAAATATCGCTAAAGCTAAATCAAGCCAATTTAGCCTTATTGGGTACATCATAGTATCTTAAAACACAAATAGACTTTCAGGGTTTCATTACAATCATTCTTTCCTGTGCTTAGCTTTATCAGATCTCAGTTGGACTTTAAGAGTTTTAGGAGCTGCTGCTCCTTTCTTTTCTTTTCTTTTTTTAAAATAGCATTTTTATTGAGTTTTATATATTTTTACCTCCTGTATGACTTGTTAGTTGTATACAGTATCTTTCAACAACATCCAATAAAACAAGAAGATAAATGTTATCCCTACGCACAATACTTGTTAATAGAACACAAAGTCTCTATATTTCTGAGGTAGTGCATATAATTGGGGTTGACAAGCAGTAAGATATTCAAAAAACACAAACCATTTTTCCAAAAAATTATTAACACCTTTCGGATTGTCAAAAGCTATTAATTGCATAGCGATTTTATCTGAAACTATCAAGTCCCACAGTTTAGATCTCCATTGTGACAGATTCGGTACCTTAAACAATTTCCAATTTAAAGCAGTTAAGTTTTTTTGCAGCCATTAGCATAGTAGAAATTAACTCTTCGTTCTGTTGAGACAGCTTCAGACCTGGCCAAAAATGTAACAAAAGAGATGCAGGTGTATTTGGAATCTCACAGTTAGTTATTTTTTTTATTTCCGCAATGACCGTAGTCCAAAACTTCTTAATTCGGGGACAATCCCACCAGCAGCGTACTAAAGTGCCTTTATTACCGCAACCTTTCCAACACAAGGGAGTAGTTTTGTATTTACAATGGAACAACTTGTCAGGGGTGAGATCAGGCTAAAAAAAGGTAAAGGTTCCCTTGCTCGAAAGCCAGTCGAATCCGACTCTAGGGTTGCAGAGCTTATCTCCGTTTCAAAGCCGAAGAGCCAGCGCTGTCCAAAGACATTTCCGTGGTCATGTGGCCGGCATGACTAAACACCGAGGCGCACGGAACGCTGTTACCTTCCCACTGAAGTGGTACCTATTTATCTACTTGCAATTTCTTGCTTTCGAACTGCTAGGTTGGCAGGAGCTGGAACTAGAGACGGGAGCTCACTCCATCATGCGGCACCCGGGTCTTGAACTGCTGAACTACCGACCTTCCACAGCCTGCAGTTCAGCATCTTAACCACTTGAGCCACCGCAGCCTGGGACATTCAGGTCAGGGCAATAAAGATCTGGGAAGCGTGCATAAGGAACTGGGAACCAGCTCCAGTTTCCTCTCAGCATCCTCCTTTTAGCAAGGCTCATCCAAGTGATAAAAAACCAGGTCTCCTTTTCTACGGCTCACTCGCAGAGCTCCTCTGGATAACCGGGAGCTCTTCCGAGTCTTCCCTGCCATTTGACAAGTGAGGTTTCACACTTCCTTCCCTGTCGCCTGTGAGCTGCTGTTACTTCGTCCCCTGGATTTCCTCGCCTTTGAACTGATGGGCTGCCATGCCTCTTGGCAGGTTGATGCTGCAAAACAGGATAGTCCCCTGGCATCTTGGACCTCAGGAGAGGAAGTGGGTGGGATTTGTGCTGAAGGAGCTGCAAATGCCAACGGATGGTCTCCTGAACAATTGCGGGTCTGATCCTGTTTTTAGAGATGGCTTTTTACTGCTTTTTGCTGCTGTCGGCTTTCTGGGATAAGATGTCCCCCGGGGATTATCGATGGGCCTTGCACCCACAAATTGGAACTGTCGATTGGAAAACTTCCCTGGTTGCCGTCACTGGCAGGACCAACCTTCCTCCAGTTCCTGATGGTGTTTCCTCTGGTGCCGCACGCAGGGGCAGTTTAGTGCCCTTTTCAAAAGAACCTCTCCTTGGTGAGAATTCTCTTCTTCCATGGAGACAGAATTGTGAGTTGGGGGCCGCTTCTTTCTCCGCGTGCTGATCTTTAGACGTGCTGCTTTTGTTCCCGAGACCGCTCTCGTTTCGCAGCAAGAATCTCTGATGTGATTAGGGAGCACAGAATTCCTCAGTGGGCTTTCAGATGCAGATAGTATTTTGTTAACATCTTTTACTCCTGGAAAAAGAACGCATTAATTTCCCTGTCAACATGAAGCGTTGAGACGGCCTCTGGCGAGGCTGATTCTCCCTAAATAAAAAATGCACTCTGTGGGAAAATGTACAAACTCCCTGAAATTGCGAATTCATCTTCTCTCTCCTGTGGCTGTACATCTTCTGTAAGCTGATTGGTGGGAAGGAGGGCCACATGGATAGACCAAATGTCTATCCGGGTGCTGGATGTCTACCAGAGCCAGTGTGGTGGTGGTGGTAAACCAAAGAGACTCAAGTTCAAATGCCTTCTGAGCCATGAAGTGCACCGGCAGTGCAGTCCAGTGAAGAATTACTCTAGTCTACAACTTAATGACTTTAGTAGGCCTAAACGGGAGTAACTCTGCATAGGGCAGGATTGCACATTGGCCAGTCACTTCTGTTCATCCTAGGCTCATGACGTGAGTCCATCGACTTGTTTGGGGGAAAGCCAGATAATAATCCTGTCTCTTCTTTTGTACAGAGTCTATGCTAGTCTGGGCTCTGACCTGGGTGGCCCAGGCTAGCCTGGTCTCATCAGATCTCAGAAGCTAAGCAGGGTCGGCCTTGGCAAATATTTGGATGGGTGACCTCCAAGGAATACCAGGGTTGTGACGCAGAGGCAGGCAATGGCAAACCACCTCTGAAACCTCTCTAGCCTCAAAAACAAGTCTGGCTTGCCACCTAGTGGTGCATAACGCTAAAGAGCGAGAACTTCAGGCTGCCAGACAATCTTAGGATCTCCTGGCTATACGACACACAATGCCATATGATGATAATGATAATTATTATGCTAGTCTGGATGTTGTGTACCACATCTGACTATGAACAGGCCCCTTAACATTGCATTCAGAGTGTAAGGAGGTCTTGATGGATTTCTACCAAGAGGAGCTTGAACTGGAGCCCTAAGTAGCATTTCCTAAGAAGTAAAGAGTCCTGTCCCCTTCCTTCTAATGGTGGAAGAGATTGGTTTGCTTTAGAGACAGCTGTGGTGTAGTGGTTAAGAGCAGCAGACTCTAATCTGGAGAACCGGGTTTGATTCCCCACTCTTCCACATGCAGCCATGTCGGTCAGCCTGTGGGTCAGTCACAGTTCTCCCAGAGCTGTTCTCTCAAGAGCAGTTCTCTCAGAGCTCTCTCAGCCCCACCTATCTCACAGGCAATGTTCCCTCTAAGCTGTGGAGTCTTGTGAGCAAAAATTCTCCTTTGTGAGCTACTGGCATTAAAGTTGTGAGCAGGTGATTTGGCTACTGCATAAATGAGTTTGCTCTGGAGCCCTCCTTCCTGAGCTAAGACAAAAATGTTTGAGCCAGAGGCTAAAAACCTGTGAGCTAGCTCACACTAACTCAGCTTAGAGGGAACACTGCTCACAGGGTGTCTGTTGTGGAGAGAGGAAGGGAAAAGAGATTGTAAGCCGCTCTGAGACTCCTCCAGGTAGTGAAGGGTGGGGTATTAAAACCAACTCCTCCTCTCCTCCTCCTTCTTCTTTCACAACAGCCCTTTTTGTAGTCCCAGGATTTAACAAAATAGTGGGAAGCTTCTAATTGGATAAATCCCTAACATCAATACACACAGATTGCTCTCAGTTGCAGGCTAAAAGTAACAGGGTCTGTGGCAAGAAGCGTAAGCATCAGAATACTAAAAATGGACAGAAATGGGGGGCTCTCCTCCCCTTCCTTCCCCAAGTGGGGCTGGAGGGCAGGAGACTTCCCTTCTCAGCTTAGCTGGAAACAAGGGCAGTGGACACGAAGATTGCCTCCCTGGGAAGACTCTGTTATCAAACAGCTCCAAGGGGAGGAACTCCAGAAGATGCCCAGGAGAAAAGGGTGTGTGTCTGGGGTCTCCTCTAGAGCAATGCTCCCTCTAAGCTGTGGAGTCTTGTGAGCAAAAATTCTACTTTGTGAGCTACCGGCATTAAAGTTGTGAGTGAGCAGTTTGGCTTTGCTCCGGAGCCATCTTTCCTGAGCTAAGACAAAAATCTGTGAGCTGGAGGCTGAAAAACTGTGAGCTGGCTCACACTAACTCAGCTTAGAGGGAACACTGCTCTAGAGTATTTCTTTATTTGGACAATGTCGATGCCACCTGTATGGAGAACCTGCCCAAGGCAGCTTATAATACAAAACACAATTTAAAAAAATCATAAAAAGCCATTAAAACCCAGCATTCAAAAACATAGGTAAAGGTAAAGGTTCCCTTGCTCGAAAGTCAGTCGAATCTGACTCTAGGTTTGCGGTGCTCATCACCGTTTCCAAGCCGAATAGCCAGCGCTGTCCGAAGACGTTTCCACGGTCATGTGGCCGGCATGACTAAACACCAAGGCGCACGGAACGCTGTTACCTTCCCACCGAAGTGGTACCTATTTATCTACTTGCAATTTCTTGCTTTCGAACGGCTAGGTTGGCAGGAGCTGGAACTAGTCAGAGCATAAAACAATCTAAAACATGCCACGGAACAGGTTTTCAAGGGCCTTAAGTATTTCTCAAGCTAAAAGCCAGACTATAGAAATGATGTTTTATAATGAATAAATAACCCTTTGATTAAAAGCCTGAGTCAGCAGAAGCACTTTGGCCTGGCATGTAGAGCCCGAAGAAGAAAGGTGTTCCACAGGCGAGGTGCCACCACTGAAGAGGCCCTGTCTCTGGTCGCCGCCTTCCTCGCCTCTGAAGGCGGGGGCCCAGAGGGCAGGGCTAATGTGGAAGAATTTATCTGGCAGGTTGGGCAGTACGGGAGGAGACAGTCCTTTGGGTACCCTGGCCGGAAACTGTTTAGGGTCTTATAGGTAAGAAGCAGCACTTTGGATTGTTCCTGGAAACAGATGGGGTTGATGTAAAGGGCTGGAGGTACCTGCCTGTCCTTTGGGTGTCACTGCTGTTGCCCACCTGTCTCCTCCTCGTGTTTCCTTGCAGGGGGACAGCAGCATTCGGTATTTTGAGATCACGGATGAAGCCCCCTACGTCCATTACCTGAGCACCTACAGCAGCAAAGAACCCCAGCGAGGCATGGGCTTCATGCCGAAGAGGGGGCTGGATGTCAGCAAGTGTGAAATTGCAAGGTAGGGGTTGAACTGAAGCCCGGGGGGGAGGGGGAATGCTTTAGGCTGGTCCTGCATTGGGCAGGGGGTTGGACTAGATGATCTGTAGGGCCCTTTCCAACTCTATGATTCTGTGATTCTATCAGCCTGGCAAAGGCATTATGATAGCGGTGTTCCCCCCCTATTTAAAACAGGCACTCAGTGTATAAATCAGGGTTCCCCAACGTGGCGCCCATGGGCACTAGAGGATTCACCAGTATTTCCCCTGGTGCCTGTCGAGCTTTTCAGAAAGTGGGTGGGGCTAGAGATGTAAAATTTCTAGAAATTTTGAAACGTTTTTTCCGGGGAAAAATGGAAATGTTCGGAAAATTTGAAAAAAATGCTACATTAGCATTTATTTTGTCTTTTCTAGATTGAAAGTCATTCTGTTACTTTAGGAACATAAAATATGACTATGGACATTTTTACTTGGCACGAAATTATCACAACTACCATATTAAAAATATAGTGTATCCAAACAGTTATTACAAACAGAATACCTGCCCACATGCAAAAACAAAACTGAAACCTTTTTCTTTTCTCGTGACAATAGCACCTCCTAAAGGAAGAAATGCATCTTGTTCTTGCATTGGAGAGTTCAGTTTGTAACCTAGGACTTGCTTGTCCTCAGTGCACAGAAATTACATCAATCAGATACCATATATATATCTTAGAAATGATTTGGAAAATATTTGAACACCTTGTCTTAAAATATTTTATTCATCATGTTAAAATAAAACGTTCCATAATCATTTTTTTTTCCTTTTCTTTTTTCAATTTTTCCAATTTTTCGGAAAAAAACAAAAAAGGCTTCAGGAAAAAAACAGAAAAAAACCGTTTCCCCCCCCGAATTTTTCTGGGTTTTTTCCAGGCCTTCACATCTCTAGGTGGGGCCATTGTAAGGCAAGGCTTGTCATTGGCTTCCCTCATCCAAATGTAAGAGCGTAAGGTATACCTTCCTTACCCATCCTGTGGTTCCGTTCCCTGTTCAGAATTTCCTTCTTCCCAGAAGGTGTGAGGAGGGTGGTATTCCATTTGGCTCTGCCTCCTGAGGCAGCTGTTTGGAGTTTGGCTCCGCCTCCCTCAGAAGCCATTTTGGGGTGGTGCTCACTACCCCCTCTTATAATTAGAAAGGTGCCTGCAGCTTCAAAAAGGTTGGGGACCTTTGATGTGAATGTATGATTTATAACTTTTTAAATAATGGCTGTGTTGCTGAGCTGCAGCCCCATCTTTGCCAATGGGCAGGGGTTGCTTTGCCAATGGGACAGTGACACAAGTAGCCAATGGGGCCCTATAAACCCCTCAACTCTGGCCCAGCTCCTCAGTTTGATTGGCTTGCTGTTTGGGCAGTGACCAAGTGCCCTACCTGGCCCACCTCAAGTCCCAACACTGGGCAGACCGACGACCCCCATTCTGTGCGAATGTCTCCCACGAAACTAGTGAATTCAATTATTAAATCCTATATCGGGATACTGAAGTGCCATGAGGATGTCTGCTGTATCTCTGCGTGATCCATTTCTCTGGCTATGTCTTCCTCCAATGGAGTTGGCTTTGAGGCAGGTTCTTCTGCCTTTTCTCTATGTCTGATGAGATGGGACGTCTCAGCCTCTCCTGGTAGAAGATTTACTGGCTCAGAAGAGGCTTCCCATTGCCTCTCTGCATGCCACTGCTCATCTCCCTCCAGTCAGGAGGAGAGCCTGCTTAGGATTTCAGTGAACCAGTGTCTCTGAATGTGGGTCATTCTGACCCTTAAAGCTAAAGTGAAGTTTGGTTATCAAAAAGTCGGCTCCCTCTTCTGGTAGAGCCCGTAAGATGCCAAAGTCTGGCTGCCAGGGTCCCCAGTTAGAACCCCTGAGGCACCACCCCTCCAGGGGGGAACAGGGCAAGGTGTACCTTCCAGAGGAAGCCCCTCAGAGACCAGGCACAGGATCGATGGCCATGCCCACCTCATAACCTCACGCTATGTGTCTCTTCCTTTCCTCCAGGTTTTACAAGCTGCATGAACGCAAATGTGAGCCCATTGTTATGACTGTGCCACGAAAAGTGAGTCCTTTGGGAAACGTGGGTGTGCATGCACATTGGGTGTGGGGGTTAAGAGCCCTGTACATTGAGCAGGGCAGGCTGTAGCTGTCTGTGGTGTGCTTGGGTTGTGGCGTTGTGGGTGTGGCTCTGTGGGTGCATGGACAGGCCTAATTGTGGTGTAGCGTTGTTAAGAGAAACGCTCTTAATTCATCTTTATGCAGTTTTTCCCTGAAATCCAACAACCCTTTTATTTACATAAGAGATGCCAATGTTGGATCAGGCCAAAGGCCCATCCAGTCCAACACTCTGTGTCACACAGTGGCCAGGAATACCAGGTGCCATCAGGAGGTTCACCAGAAAAAATCACTTTTAGGCTTATGGAATTTATTTCTAACCAATCCCATTTTGATCAAAGAGAAACTGAAAGAGTTGAGGGGCAGGAAGGGAGGGTCTGCAGATTTTCACAATTTCACTCTGTGTATGCTTAGAGGCAGGCATTATCCAAGCCTCCTTATCATCCTGCTAGAGATCCACCCTGTTATGTGTATTATAAAACAACTGCAAGGGTTTAACAAAGGGTGTGTTGATTTCTCTACAAAGAGAAATCCCTCTTTTAAAAAAGAAGAGGACTCGGTGACTATACCTAAAAAAAAAAAAGTGGGTTTGCTATTGTGTTGCTTTTTGCAACAATGTAATGAGAGCTCCACCTGCTGGCTGTTAAATGAGTTGTTGGGAGAAACCTTTTCAATGGTGCTTTGTGTTATTCAGTTAATGGAGGTGTGTTGCCCCTTTATGGAGTTTTAGGCATTTGTATTTGCACATAGCTGTAACTATTCAAGGGCCTATAGACCAGAAGACACATTTCAGTCTTACATGGTCTACTCCCCGCCAGAACCCCTGTAGCCCATGAATGCATATGAAGTAAGGGTGTGTGCTGTGTCCAACAAGTACTGGGTCATGGTTGCTCACCCAGACTCCCAGACAGATGTACATTGGGGGAACTCTCCTTAAAAAGTACTCTTTTGCTCAGAGCTGAAAGGGAGAAGGAGCGTTCAGGTTCCGTCCTTCTTCCACCAGTGGAAAGCAAGGAGGTAGCTTTTTGCCCCTGTTCTCTGGCTTCTCATATCTTTCCAGCATTCTTAGCAGTCCTCTATACAGTGACTAGTGGTTTGCTGATGATCCACCGTCCACCTTTTGCCTTCTTCTGCTGTCATCTGCCCACTGTTGACCCTTGGAGGTAATACTCTTTGGGATTTGTTTCTCGTTTTAAATACTCCCCATCACCACAGTAGAGGATTAATGTCAACCTAGGAAACCGGGCCCAGACTAACCCAATTCCATCAGATCTTGGAAGCGAAGCAGGGTCAGCCCTGGTGAGTACTTGGATGAGAAACCACCAAGGAATTTTAGGGTCGCTGTGCAGAGGCAGGCAATGGCGAACTTACTTCGGAACATCTCTTACCTTGAAAACCCTGTGGGGTCAGCTGTGACTTGACGGGGCTTTACACACACACAGGAAATTGGGGAGGGCAGCCCACTGTCTAGCCACCTCCATGTTT